ATGAATTTAGTATAAACTCAGTATGAAGTGAATTAATATTACAACTAATTCATTTTACTCTGTGCGATTTTAAAGAATAACTATTAGGAAAAACTTGGTTAGGTAGGAATCATGAATAAAATAAAAAACTGTAATTTTGCTTCTTATTTATTGACTATTTTTCACATATTTGTATCATATTGTATTTATTTGTATATCACATGTAGGTATATTTTGTAAATATGCAGCGTGAATGTGTATCAGTTGTTCTTGAATAATTTGGCAGTATGATCCTCTCAGGATGTTGTGGCACAGGTTCACTAGCACTTGGTAATAAGGGTCTGCCCTTTGGTAACATCGATGGCATATTAGATAGCCGAAATAGTTAAATTAAAGGAAAAACAATCGCAAATAAACACAACAGGTAATCCGAAACGAGAATGCACTTTCCTGTTTTTTATACTACTCTTTGGAATGCACGAATGCCACAGATTACTACGAATGCAAAATGCATGCACCACAACCACAGAGTAACGAGTTTTATGCCGGCCCTTCACTTGACAACAGTTTGTCCTTGTCATGCTTAATAAGGAATGAAAAGGACAGACTGATGTCATGTTTTAAAATAGCAAATACGAATAGCCAAGTTAAGTGCCGGCATAGATTATACACATAAAATGGTATTATTGTCTCATATTATTTTTTAACTTTTTAATTTAGCTTACTTAACTGGAAGTGTCCGTTACAATCTAAATACTGATAATTATCGCAAAAAATATACTAAGAATTATCATAAATGCCAAATTGGTGTTGGTTCTTAGGCCAATTTTAACATTGTCCTTTCACTCACATGATTTTTTCATAACGCGCCCGCGGCCAGTTCATGCTGTTACTTTTGGGTTACAGTGATGCGCGCGCATCTATAAATTTCACTCTCATCATTTTTTCATAACGCGCCTAAAGAAGTATAACTTCAACAAGATAGGAATAGGATATATACTGTCTGATCAGCGTGGCAAGCTAGCTAGTAAAAAATCTGCATTTAAATAGGTTGTACGTTTTTTTGGCATTGCCTGCTTGCTTTGCTTACTATGTTATCGGTCCGTAAAGCTATCTTGACTAACCGATAGCAAACGTGATTACTTGAGAAAGGAACTGAAAAGAACAAGACATTTTTCTTCATTGCATTACAGAATTATATACTTAAACATATTTTAAACTTTTTAATAGTTATGTTAAGTCTAAGCTATTGCAAATTATAGAATTTGCTTTTATATATTCGAAGATCGCTGGGTACGCGGTCAGATTTGGTCGTGATTAGCTGCGCCCCGCGGTGTTACTCGCTGTTTAAAGGTATATTTTCCCGTAGTTAAACGTGGCCTATGTGTTAATCTAGGGCGTCAGCTAACTCCATACCAATTTTTATTAAAATCGCTCCTGCCGTTTAGACGTGAAGAAGTAACAAACATACACAATCACACACAAACTTTCGCCTTCATAATATGTATTGAGTGTGATTAGTGTGATAAACAAATAAAAGACAATGGTGTCGATTCTGGCATGATTATCTAATCATCATCATCATCAGCCTATTAATGTCTCCAATGCTGGGGCACAGGCCTTCCCTATGGATGGAATAGGGAGATTGGGCTATGACCCACCACGCGGGCCCAGAGCGGATTGGTGGGTGCTAACGATGCAGCCGGGGCCAACGGCTTAACGTGCCTTCCGAAGCACGGAGGAGCTCGAGATAGTAGTTTTTGGTCTCCCATTCAATGACCGACCACTGAGAAAGTTGCTTAAATTCAACGATCGCAGCCGAACGCGCTAACCACTTGCGCCAGCGAGCTTCTCCTGATTGATTATCTAAACCTAAACTTAAATTCGTCAACAGTTTATAAGAGATCGCGAGTACACGGAGAGACTGATGTTAAATTTAGTTTTAAATTTCGAGAATCATACCAAAATCGTCCCAGTGTATACTTACATAAGTGGTGTTGGTAGAGTAAGTACTTACACGAATACAATCACTATAGTACCCAACAATGAATCGCGGTGACGTTTGGTCACGGGTTCGATCCCAACTCTCATTGTTTCAATAATTGCTTTAGAGATTAGGTGACTGTATTGTGTGCTTTTATTTATGCACATACGTTTCTATTTGGCCACATTGACATGTAAAATTCATAAAGTAGCACGGCACGGCACAGACACACACATACACTGTTTTAATATCATACACCAGGGTTTCGTACATATTTATTGGCGATCATAAGTCAAAATATCTTTATTCAAATTGAATGCACAATACAAATCTTTGGAATCGTGCAAATTGTTTTCCCTACCACCAGTTAAGGAATTTTTTTTGCTGTGGAGAAAAACTGGCGAAAGAAAACTTCACAGCGTTAAATAATTATGTAACAATATTGACAAACTATTATATTGTTACAGTGTCAATACAAAATCATTTCATCAGTCGCGTATGACGTGTAACATTTGAAACCTCACCTTATATTAGTAAAAAAAGAAATAAAACCTACTACAAGAGGAATAAGCCATTTGAACATTATGTTCTAAAATCAAATCAAATAGGGCGCACTTTCGCGACTTCCTCTCTCTCGCTCTCGCCGTTTCTCTTGATATTTCTAAGGCTTTTGACAGGGTCTGGCATGCAAGTCTCATTGGCAAGCTTCCTTCATATGGAATCGCTGTCGGACTTTGCAACTGGATTGCAGATTTTCTGAGGGGCAGATCGATACGAGTGGTCATTAATGGCACATCGTCGGATCTGCTTGGTATTAATGCCGGTGTCCCCCAGGGATCTGTCCTCTCCGCAACTCTATTCTTGCTGCACATCAATGATCTGCTCCTAACTCCTGGTATCTTTGGGTATGCAGATGACAGCACAGTTTCGGGGAGATATCTGCCTGATGTGAAGTCTGATGCAGATGTCCGATCATTAAGGGAGGCGATGGTGGAGGGAGTGAATGCAACCCTGGAAGCTGTTTCCCTCTGGGGTGAAGCCAACTTGGTTGGATTCAATCCCTCTAAAACACAGGCCTGTCTCTTCTCGACGAAACGGAGTCCATTCCATCTAACTCCGACTTTCCGAAATGTCTCCGTGCCGGTTAAAGACCATCTCGAGCTCTTGGGTATGGACATCTCATCCAGCCTCAATTTCGGTCCCTACATAGAGTCCATTGCTAAAACCGCTGCCAGAAAACTTGGAATACTTTCTAAGGTCAGGCGATATTTTACATCTGAGCAGCTCCTTAACCTTTACCGAGCCCAAGTTCGCTCCTGCTTGGAGTACTGTTGTCACCTTTGGGACGGATCTGCTCGGTATCAGCTGGATGCACTGGACTCGGTGGAACACCGCGCGAAGAGACTCATAGGCAATGACGCTCTCGTTGAGGCTAATCTTCAGAGCCTCCACCACCGAAGACGTGTAGCTTGCCTTTCGGTGTTTTATCGGTTACATTTCGGAGAGTGTGCGGAGGTATTACATAATTTGATCCCCCCTTCCCCTTTCCACCACCGGACGACCAGGCGCGGCGAGGGCTTCCACCCTTATGTTGTCGAAGTTCCTCCTATTCGCACGAAGCGATTTGCTTCGGCCTTCATTATACGAACGGCTAGGGAGTGGAACTCCTTGCCGAGGTCTGTTTTCCCGGACCAATATAACCTGGACATCTTCAAGGCCAGAGTGAACAGGCATCTTCTAGGCAGGCGTGTACCATCCTAGGCCTCATCATCGCTTTCCATCAGGTGAGATTGTAGTCAAATGCATTGCCTATTTTGCATAAAAAAAAAAAAAAAAACTTCCTGTTACACACTTCCGTCCCATTTCACGAAATTTCTCCCACAAATTGCAGGAAAGAAAAAGCCGGCCAGAACGTTTGGAACACTTTAAACCCAAGCATTTATGTCTGAAATATAATCAGACACTTTATAATAGGCTTTATCAATAAGAACTCCTTTAATTGTAGTTTTAAATTTATTGACGCTTAATTTGTGGATATTGCTAGGGAGTTTGTTGTAGAAGCGTACACAAAGACCTCAAAAATACTTTAAGTGAATTATTTATATATGATGAGACTAACTGAAAGCCTCGGAAATAGTTCCTTTGCCACCTAATATAATATACCTTCCATAAAAACTAACTAAACGAGACGTGGACACTGACGGTACGACTGGTCCACAGGTTCAAAGTCGCTCAACGCGCTATGGAAAGGGCTATGCTCGGCGTTTCTCTGAAGGATCGCATCAGAAATGAGGTAATCCGGCAGAGAACCAGAGTTATCGACATAGCCCACCGGATTAGCAAGTTGAAGTGGCAGTGGGCTGGCCATATTTGTCGAAGAACCGATAACCGTTGGGGTAGACGAGTTCTGGAGTGGAGACCGCGTCTAGGCAAATGTAGTGTAGGACGTCCTCAGGCGCGATGGAGTGACGATTTGCACAAGGTGGCTGGCAGGAGCTGGATGCGAGTAGCCCAAGATCGATCTAAGTGGCGTGCATTTGGAGAGGCCTATGTCCAGCAGTGGACTAAGATGGGCTGTTGATGATGATGATGAAAAACTAACTATTTCGTAGTAAAATCAGCATGAAATTTTGGTTAGTTATTGTTAAGATAGGGACTTAGTTACAATATATTTAGTGAAGTGAATTATATTATCTGAAACATGCGTTTTTATCCTCACTTCATTGTAGCATTTTAACAATAAATATGTGCATAAAACACTTATGAAATGGAAATCAGAAAAATAGAAATCATAAACGTCCCATAGCGACGCTCGCAATAAGTAACAAAGAGAAAATTTTGTTTGCGACATTGAACTGACTGGAGTCGAACTAGGGACGTACGGACAATAATCTGTAACAGATTGATTGTGAATTCTTCGCGGTGCGATTTCATTAGTATTTTAAAGAACAGGGGACGTAGCTGCCGGCGAAGTCTGGCTTTACTAATATTGTAAATGCGAAAATTTGTCTTTATTCATCAACAATCATATCTTGAGTTGCCAGATGCTGGCTTATCAATACCGGGACTTTTGCACCACCCTTTAAAAAATAAAGCGTCTAATCAAACCCCCATCACCCCCCGCAATTAAAACATCAAGCAGACCAGCGGTGTTATGCGTTCTTAGTTTATTGTGTTCCGAAACTAGCACATTATCGGAATCCGGGACTATACTAGGTCTTATTACTGGTACCGGGATAAGACGCAAAATTCCGGGACAATTCTGGATTTCTCGGTCATCTAGCATCCCTACTCATAACCGTTGTATTTAACTGGACAAACAGAAGAATATGAATATGTGCTCTACTCATATCACAGACTCATTGTCTGTGATACGAGTCGAATTTATGGATTCTTTTAAAATACTCTATAGGCATACTCCATGATTATATATAACATGGTATTCCATGCAGCTTTAAAGTCGCGGGCTTTGGAATTGTTAAAAAAGTATTTACACTAAATATTTAAAATGTTACATCTAAACATTAAACAAATTAAATATTCGTCCATGGATGGTATTTGTTCACTTGTATCTATGTCTCAAACAATTGTTCTAATCCTATCATAATCTCTTTGGTTTAATGGTATAGTTGCGTCGTTGATAGCAGCGACAGCAAGCAATGTCCCATGAATGGTGTCAGATGTGGCATTATTTCTCATCAAAACCATGCCTGTTTGGTCTCTAATTATGTTATCTCGACTTGACGCAGATGTGATATGAAATTCATCCCTAATTAAGATAGCGTTGTGAAGCGGCGCAGGCGCCGCTGCATAGAGTAAGCGACCGACGACCTTGTTTTCGCGCGATTTCTTCGCCGCTTTCCCTGCGTTATCACCTTAAGCATTCGGTCGCAATCCGCTTATTTCTCCTTTCAAAACTGCGTATCCACTCTTTATGTGGTGACGCTCATTATTGCGAACTTATGTTCAGCTATTAAATGGAAAGGTATCAATACTGGTTCAATTACTTTACCTTCTTTTATAGAAGGCTTTTTGAAATACATCTCGTAATTTGTATAGGTCTGCCATCCACCTTCATTATTCGAATCAGCTTCTTCACCTTAATTAATTCAAAACGAGGATCTGATTTTTTTCGTTTAGATTTCTTTCGTAGCTAATTTATTTTTATTCATAGCTAAAATTTGTAAAAAGGGCGGTGCTCCTGTTTATTTGAATTAACTTTCTAAAGATTTCATTCATATTGATCTAGACGTGAGTAAATGTCGATGTTCACTTTCACATCTTTAATAATAATAATCTTTATTTCTTCTTCCACAATCTACAAATCCCATGACAACTTATTATACTATAATTCTTATATAAGAACAGTAAAATAGATTGTGAGAGACTGGTGCCTGAACTAGGCAGAACGCCTGTATCTCAGAGCACCAGAACTCTCCCTCCCCTGGAGAATGCACATTGAGCAAATTATAAGGTCATTGTTCTTACATATTAAATTGTAGGTATAGGAAGAAAAGAAAAACATATTAATTATAAAAGTGACACGACTACGCTTAAAATAAGAATAAGTACCTACAAGCTTTGATTAAAATCAAAGCCTACAAGTAACAACTTGCCTTAATGTTTTAAGTATCACAAGTGTGTAACCATATTTGGTACTTCAAATTTGAAAGAATGAGAGGGATAAGGTTAGGCTTTATTATCTATGGAAATACAATAAATTCTCAGTTTCTATGAATGTTTGAGTACGTAAAAATTGAGTAACAAAGATTTTACAATTTTTGTTTGTGTAGTGTAAGCTAGTGTAGCAGTAAGGGCCCAGAAAATAAAAGAAATATTAGCTATTAAGATCTTTATTAGTTACAAATGCAAATACTCAGTACCCGTAACGTGTGTTGAGGCATCACGTATTGTTGTATTTTAGTACAATAGTGTACTTGCTGTGCACGTAAAACTTTCAATTTTCTACCAAGTACCGGTGGTACAAACAAATGGTGCATGGAGACATTAGACAGTAGTGAGTGTCTGCCCGCCGCGCCTGCACGCGACGCTGGGTGTTAGTGGCTCGTTCGAACAACAGTTATAACGCCGCGGTTGCTATTGTACTGTTTAAAGTGCTCGCCAAAAATGTACACAGGAGTTTTGGGAATCTAAAACTGTGCTAGTTGTTTGTGTTTTTTTGCTCATTGATATGTGGACCTCCGTCAGGAAATGGTGCAGCGAGCAAGTTAGTTGATATATATATATATAAATATATAAAGATATTGTTATGATATTTCACTGAATTGTATTTGCCATATATTCTTTTTTGTCGTGGGGGTGGTTGGGACATGAGTTTTATTCGAACTAAGTTTTGTAACGAAAGTTTTGATTATTATCATACTTCAATTCCAATAGATGTACCGCTCCAATTGGAGCGCCTGCCTTAGAAATCTCGTTAGGAGACTGCATCAAAATTACATTATTGCTGTCTTGAAATAATGTTAACTAAAGTGCATAACGTTTTGGCAAACTTCAACTGGTGAGAGAAAAGAGTCCTGGGTCTGGGTATTCAAAATAAGCAATTTTATCTTAAAAACTGTAAATATACGCATAAACAATGTTTTAAATGGTACTTGTTTAACAATTCAGCTGTATTTTCTGCTCGAGTGCGTAAACAGGTGATTGCACCTGCTGGCGCGACAGGTGGGGCTGCCGTTGACCCCTTCTCTCCCGAACTTGAGAAAGCGAAAGAAAACCATTCAGAATTTATTATTCAACGCGCATATACGACCTCCGTGGCCGAGTTTGTACGCCGGTTTTCAAGGTGTCGCCTCCTCAAGAGGTCCTGGGTTCGAAGCCCGGTGGAGGCAGAATGTACTCCAGTCATGGATGTTTAATATTTTACTTATGTATCTACAATATGTGTATTATATCCATTAACCTAGTATCCCATAACACAAGCCTTACAGTGCTTACTTTGGGGCTAGGCTAATTGGTGTGAGTGTTGGAAATATTTATTTATTTATATGAAAGGCAACCCGCTTAATGCCTATTGAAATTGTACATACATAAAGATTTCATCTAGTGGCACTAGCAACAAAATTATAATAATTAGGTATAATATTATTTTGTTCTCCAACTTAGTAGAAGGCATCAAATTAAAATTAAGCAAAGACGATTGAGATGTTTTGGATTAGAATAACAGAAAACGGTGTACTTACATATTGTTATGATATGATTGATATTTTTAAATTGTAAATCGTCGATGATGAAGAACTTAAAGACAACTTTTACCGCAATGAATAAATGGCAGAGTCGTGGCAAAGAACGCCTTGACTTTTTATTCCTATTGTATGACTGTAATACTGAGCTGTGACGACAATCATGTGATTGTAAAATCATTACTGAGATTACCAAAATTCATTTCAAAAAACACACTCGTCAAGCTAAACTACATATAAATATCAAATACACGACGTAAACTTCTGAATATGTAAGATACTAAAGAAAAGTTTTACTAGAATAAAAATCAGGGTCGTGGTAGCATAATTGGTCAGTGCATTCGCTCGGATTGCGAAGAGTTCGGGTTCGAGTTCCGTCCGCTGCCTGGTCCGCGCGGATTTTTTTCTAGTAAAACTTTTCTTTAGATTTAAACATCTAGCAGTTAAATGCTTAAAAAATAAAAACATAAATGTAAGATATTCTTTATTTTCTTGTAAATTGATTCATCTCCTAAAGTGTAGTTAGGGCAATTAAATATTACCCTGACACCTGACATCATCGACGCCAGTCCCGTGAGGACTCGCCTCGACAATTAACTCCATAATTACCTGTTAATTTATCAGCATGCCCCGCCTGTCCTCTTTGTATGGCTGCAACCAACTATTTCAAGCAAAAAGAAGGTAATATTATTACTGACTGACTGTTATCATCATAATAGGCTAGTTGACTCATGTCGAATTGTATTAAATAAATGTTTATTTCTTAAAGTATTTGGTCTAAGGAACCTAAATATATCGATTTCACTTCATAAAACCAGAAGATTGCTGTAGAAATTTAATTTAAAAAAATATTTTTTAGTCTATATTTTCTAAACACTAAAAACGCTATCCGCCACATCCGCCATGATTGTGACGTCTCTTATGGTAAATAACTAAATGTCATTCGCGTGTTATAGTGGGTGGATTCTTTCGTCTGACTAAATTTATCTTAAAACACTTTTAACTTTAGAAAAGTTTCCGTTTACTGTTTTTTTTTGAAAAAACTAATTATGGATGCCGGCTTTGTGAACAGAAAGCACAAATCTGCCAAGAATTGACGCATTCATGGTTGGTGAATTTATTGCACTAAACCCCGATTTCTGCTCTGCGGAGCAGAGAAAGGACAAGGCATCTATGTAAGTACAGTGTATTTAGTATTACAATGTAGTAATAAACATAAAACTGATACAACATATGAATAAGTGTAATAAAGTTGCGTAGGTTAATTTCTTTCGGCACTTTTAATCCACAACTTTCCTGGAGTCTTCAAGGATGTGTTTTTATATTCTCGTACAATACAATAATGATAATTATTTTATTTTTCGGGGTATTTATTAGAAATCATCTTTTGATTATTATAAAGTCAGTTAAGTTATTTTCTACGTGCTTACGAGTTTTTGTTTATTTACCTTTATGTTAATATGTTATGTGTTTACTGCAGTTAACGTCATAGCATAGATAATCTATAGACTAAAATGGCCGACAGCGTTTTTGTATGTCCACGAAAAATCTATTTTAAAATTTAAGATTTGTAGCTTTTTAGGTCTCAAAAAAATACAATACTTTTTTTTCGGTCTAATAGAACATTTATTAACCATTTAAAACCTTTTTCCAAAAAGGGTCAACTAGCCTATTGTTATTTGTTCCTGTTAAAATTTACTTAGGTATGTGTCCAAGGTACTTTTGAAATCGTCCATCTCTGTGTTTTGAATAAACTTTATTAATATATGTACATTAATATATACAGGAATAATGAACCTTAAACTAAAAACCTTAAAAAATATAATATAATAACTAAAGTATATTACTAAAATTAGTCCCTTTAGGCAAGTTTCCGAAGATACTGGCAGCGTTCCCCCTTTGAATAGCTAGACTAATTCGTTGTCCGAGGTAGCTGCCAGCTCTTCGGTCTCCAGTGATGTCGACTAACCTTTTTGGTATTTCCTTAAAAAACCTCATAGCGCTAGGGCCCCACGGACCAAGGGTCTCGACACCGAATGGGACAAAATCATATTCGGAACCTAGACCCCTGTATTTGCATGCTTAATTATTAATTATTTTGAATGAATTTTATTATATAAAAAATCATCTTCATCAACCCATGCTCGTCCACTATTGGACATAGATCTCCCCCAATGCAAAAATAAATTAAACCAATATTAAAAATAAAATTCATTTATTTCAAGCAACATAACTCATAATCATTATTATGGAAACAGGTACATGTCAAGGTGTACAATTTAGGTTACGGTCAACATATATATGTCACAAAGAAAAATAAGTTAATAAAGATAGTTTAAAAATCATTAATAACCATCAAATAAAACATTTTAATTAGCAGTTTAGGATAACGGAAAACACAATCAAGTCAAGATATCTTACGTCAAGTGTCTCTTAATTCTTTAAAGAGCATAATATAATTATTTCACTGCATTCGTCTTAATTCTAATTGTCAAGGTTATTTAATTTATCATTATTTCCTTTTAGCTCAATAGTTGTTCTGTTAAACCTTACAGACGGTGGAATTTGATGTGCTCTATCAACCATATCGATTTTTTTTCTTTTTATCTCCTTTTTGTATCGTCTACTAGAAGTTTCCGCTTCAAATCTTCTGATCTAGTAATTCGGTTAGAATTGTTTATATAAATATTTGGTAATATCCTTATTCATTATTTTTTTGGAACCCATTCCTCTGATTTCGTGGTAATCCAGATCCAATTTGAGTAGCAACTTCCTTCCTCAGTATTACCGATATTTGTAGATTTATTGCTTTCTCTCAGTTTTGTTGGTATCTCATTGATAAAATTTTCAAGTAAACTAAAATATAGAAGGTTTGGAATTCTCCTTTCACACGAATCTTTTATGTTGTCTTTATCTTTAGAATGTATCTGAAGCGCACGTCCTTAAATATTCATAATCATCGTGAATGAAGGACGCTATTTTTTATTCGGAGGTGATTTCATACTATTTTTAATTCAAATAATATTTTTATCTGACATGATTGTCTATATGAAATGAAACGGAAAATAATAAGCCATCACCATTTTCCTCTCTTTATTTTCAGTTTGTACCAGTTTTCGTGTAAGCATACAAGTACTGCTAGGTAAAGAAAGTTCACAAGCTGTTATTTTATTACATTGTTATTTCCATTTAACCTCAAGGGTTTAGTAACGGTAACTGTTCCATTGCTGAACTGAATAGAGATCTACTTTTTTATTGTTCAATTCTCAATTTTATCATTCAATAAACAAAAACAGTTAAATGTAACGCGTTTCATAGCTGCTAGGTTTTCAGCTGTCTGCGGAAAGCTTACATTTAGCTTTTTTGTCGACCGAACGGACTATCCAATCAGCATTTCATATTTTTGGTAAAGATTACCCAAAAAGACCCTCAGGCTGTCAATAGAAGTGGCTGTTGTGACACTTATACAATCTGGACCACCATATATTTCTTCGTAATTTTATCCACACCGCATTGTACACACAGTTATTTTCATACGCGTGCCCCAGTGGCATGATATCGTACGATGACGCGACCCATTGTAAGCAACCTGCTGTGCGGGACCAACCACATGCTCTACTATCGCTCCACATATGGCACCGCAATGTTTGAATCATTCTTCTCGTATTGGGCCTCCCTCGGCATCGGTTATATCGTACTTGTGTTCGCTTGATTGTATATTATCGTTATTACGACCTCCGTGGCCGAGTGGTATATACGCCGGGTGTCAAGGTGTCGCCTACTCGAGAGGTCCCGAAGGGGGAGGGGTTCGAGTCCCGCTGGGGGCAGATGTTTGTGTGATGAATACGAGCATTTGTACTCCAGTCATGGATGTTTAATATGTATTTCTATATAAATATACTTATATATGTATTCTATCCGTTACCCTAGTATCCCAGAACACAAGCCTAGTGCGTGTGAGTGATGGAAATATTTATTTTTTTAAAGATTAGGTTGGGATTATTAGGGTTTGTTTTGTGCGTGAAGCGATTGACTGTGCTGGATTGAATGATTTAGGAATGCAGACGAATATCGTTATGAATTTGGAAAGTCGATTGTGACTTGTGTCGCATGCTACTGTAGCAATATCTAATGAGCGATTCAAAGATAGTGCCATTAATGGGACGGCAGTATTACCACGGTAATAATATATAATATTACCGTGGTATTACGAACACTACAACCGCTAACGGGAAGTAACGCCCGCCGGCCGCCTGCGCCGCGCCGCGTCGGCTCGCTGACTAACCGCTGATTACTGATTTGATTAGCCTTTGTTTATCATCCCATTACCACATTTATAGAATACCAGTGTGTGTGCGCGGAATGTTAAAAAGTCTGAATGGGTCTGTGTTGAAAAAATTGCGCATCAATTCGAACTCATTAACAATACAATTAACTACGCATACTCTACATGGTTGGCGGAATTCTAAAATAGCTTTACGAATGTTGGGTCTTTATTGTGCAACATGTGGATCTACCTACCGTTACATGAAATTGTGGGACCAATTCCCACAGTCGAAAATATTATTATTCTCGAATTAAGCATTCGCAATCAATGTAACTGAATATTACATAATGCAAGAGAATGCTAGTGGCCATAATTACCTGCATCGATTAACGTTACGATGTGAAAATAAGTGAAATCTAAAGCATGTCTGAAGCGATTCTTCAAGTCGGGTTTGTTGACTATTATGAGGGAGATTGTAGCAGCAAAACAATGTGCCCTGCTCGACCGAGCTCACAGATTTTCATAAACATACAGGCGGAAACGGAATAAATTTCGGGACTATATCAATAAAAAAAATCAACCAAACAAAGTCGATTTAACTATTACCTATGTTCTTTACTTCCGGTCATATCTACTCGAACAGATATAGGTACATACTTATACTTTTCTCAACTCTGGTGAAATCGAAAATGAAACTTTGATGCTCTGTTGGGAAATGCTTTAAACAATTGAATTATTAATACGTATTGATTTCAAACAAGTAAATTTGTTGTATGATAAACTCATATTAGAACGAAGTTTTCATGTAATTGTAGGCTCTGATTTATAGAAACAGGCTGTTATAAATGTGTCTACATTATCAAAGCTGGCTGCAGTGATGTCACCAGTGCTTATCGACTATTGGATAATGGCTCTTTTGACTCCATTTCCCTTATTAGTCTGGGCGTTATGCTAATTAACAGTGGGCGAGCCCAAAACTGTAACCTATTTCAAGAATTGCTCGAATCGACATTGTTACTGAGGAGTTCGCTTTTTGATATTCTATTATCATCGTGATGAGAAACTTGCATCAATGCTAGTTCGTTGAGTTGAAAGATAACTAAATTTTAAGCAACATCGTTTGTACTTTATCTCTTATGCCGAGATATTGTGTTGTGCCAAAGAATATCTTCCCAGATAAACCATGTTCTTCTTTGATATGACATTAAATCAAGGTGACATCAGCGCAATGATTTCTGGCATGTTTTGGCTCTAAACATAAAATGAAATATTTGACGTGCTCCATACTTATTAAAAATAAAATACTGCTGTCAAATTAACTGAAGTAGAATAAAAATAAATAAATAAATATTTCCAACACTTGCACCAATTAGCCTAGCCACAAAGTAAGCACTGTAAGGCTTGTGTTATGGGATGCTAGGGTAACGGATAGAATACATAATTATACTGAACATATATAAGTATATTTATATAGAAATACATATTAAGCATCCATGACTGGTGTACAAATGCTCGTATTCATCACACAAATATCTGCCCCCACCGGGATTCGAACCCGGGACCTCTCGAGTCGGCGACACCATGAAACCCGGCGTACAAACCACTCGGCCACGGAGGTCGTCAGGAATAGAATAGAATATATTTTAAACAGAACCATGCGAGAATCGGGCCTATTAAATTAGTTTTATAAGACGGGGAGGGTGGTCTTTATCAAAAGATAAGCCTTTTTAATCTAATTCATCGTCGTAATTATGTACGGATTTTTATGGTTTTTTATCAAACATGGAATTTCTGGTTTTATCATCGATTAGTAATTTAGTACACGTTATTACGGTATCAGTATTGGAGTAACGTATCATCGGCATTATGTGATGTATATCGAGTACATAATTCTTTTATTATTACTCTACAGATAACATACTATTGGTCAATGAAATCTTTATATTATTCACTTTGGTTCAAATGTCACATTGATCACGTTTTCAGTGAAATAAACCTACCTTTTGGTGGTGTTTCTGTCCATGCGGTAGGCGATATTTGTCACCGGGGGCTTGCTCGGAGATGTGGCGCACGCAGGTGCGTCGGCCCCGAGACCGCCCCCATATGGGCGTAGGAGGGTACCGGGGGGTTTTAGTGGAGTAGGATCAGTGTGGCCTTCCGTACTGATCCTGCTTGAGTATAGTCGGCACTGTTTCCCGTGCCGGCGAGTCCCACACACGTCGTGCGCCTAGTCAGCGTCACGGTATGGTGCGTAACTGCATTTCCCCTCGTCACAAAAAAAAAAGGTGATATTTGTCAGCTTGATGGTGAATCTTGCGCCCGACTAGGTGACGGCCCATCAGTGGGCTGAGGGGTAGGGGATCCCGCGGCTTCGCATCAAGCATTGTTGAAGGTATTCGCAGGACTTTTTTAGCGGATATTATGCCGTAAAGCGCCCGTAAGAGTTGCGGGGTCCTCGGTGGGCAGCCACTAGGGGGTCCATAAGACTTACGGGAGCCAGGTGTGAGGTCCGTTCGGCGGTGTGCCTCTTAAAGGCGCCGTTGTCTGTAAATAGAATTTTTGACCTGCGTAATAAAATAAAATGTTTTTAGCGGGTAGGGACCCTCCTCTCGAGCAGCCATTGAGCCCACAGAGCATAGAAAGAGGTTAGAAGGCCTTGTGGGCGGGGCAGGCGCGCCATAGTTATGTGTGAGCAAATGCTCAAAACTTGGTTCTGATTGCGACGTTGCTCCTGGCCGTTGGCGCTGATTGGTCCGGTTGTTTGATGTCGCGTCGTTTGATTGGCTATTATCTATAAGGTGTGAGTGTGTTGAGCCAGTTTTTGGATTGGTTGAGTGGGTGGGTGAGGAAGGGGGAGTAGTCCCAGTCCCAACCTCAACTCGCCGTCCCCTCAAGGTGGTGGGGTGTGTTTATAAAATTTTCTTGGATGTTTATAAAGGTAACCAATGCGCGATTGACTTTGACGAAAAAAATTAAAAAAAGTAGAAGACTTTTTAGTAATTTTTTTTGCAACTTAATCCTCATGAGTTGTACTTTTTTGCATAAAATAATTAGCTTTGTAACTTTGGTGAAAGTTATGAAAATGTCGATCCAAAGTGAAAAATTTACGAATAGACATCCATGTTCCTGCCACCCTGTAGAATGAAAGGGACATAATTATGTCAGCGCCCCGTCTAGCGTCTTACGTCTTCTCTGTGTGCCCCGCACCTTACCAAACTAGAACTAAGTAATGTTACATTTCCCATAAAACCGTACAACAAATTGTAGAGAATTTGTAACATCTCATAATAAAGTGGATATTCTAGTATCCCAAGCTATCTATGTTTAACGTGGATTCTTACCAACAGACGGGCATTATGTTCGTTTACCATCTGTATTACATAAAAAGAAGGATTGCTATTCTCTTGGATGTAAATGATGTAATGTTGTCGTACAGTGTGGTGGCGTGGTGGTGCGCTCAGCCCCCGCGATGTCGAAGAAGCCGGCGGCGGCGCCCACGCTGCACAAGGTGATCATGGTGGGCTCCGGCGGCGTGGGCAAGTCCGCGCTCACGCTGCAGTTTATGTACGACGAGTTCGTCGAGGACTACGAGCCCACTAAGGCGGATAGCTATAGGAAAAAGGTGAGGCTTTCTACTCTTCAGAGCGCTTTTACAAAATTGCGCCGCTGCCGTACTGATCGGAACGTAGGTAGATTTGCACTAGTATATATTGCATTTTACGGGTGATGTTTCGAGTCTTATAAAATAATTATTAATGAACTAATTATAAAAATATATACATATTTCAGTAGTTCAATGATGGTAGATTAATTTTATGAAAGTTTTTGATAGTAATTCCATTTTATTCAATATCAAGATACGAGGTAAACCTACATTTTTTGGGAAAACTCACGGAGGTTAGATGTTTTTTTTTTGATAATTAATGAGATGGAATGTATGCATGCATGTATGTTCCGCGACTTTTTATAATTATCGAGTTATGATTTTTTTTTCTGAAATTTCGGGAATTTTCGACCGGACCAACTTAAAAAAAATAAAAAATTGTGTGTGTCACCTCCGACGCACGACTGGGGCCCAATTCTCGCGGCATAGATATTATATCACCTTCGATATATATCGAATGATCTGGCTTTTATCGAAGGAAAACCTTTTTGCCCTATTCTCACCATGTCGCAATAGATATTTATCTACGGATGATCAGTAGACATACATCGACTGGTAAAGAGCCTTCGATATATAAATATCTATGGATCTTGGCATGTCAATCTTGTTATTTCCACTTTTTTTACCTATTATTTGTTGTGTTGTCGTGTGTCATTGCAAATTATTGTTACCTCAAGATGTTGTTAACTGCCTTCATAAATAATTAGTAAATAAAGAAGTAGGTAAACAATGGTGCCGATTCTGGCGTGATTCTCTAAACTTAAAACTAAATTTAACATCAGTCTGTCCTTTTCATTCTGTATAGAGAATGACAAGGATATACTGCTGTCAAATTTAAGTTTAGGTTTAGAGAATCATGCTAGAATCGACACCATTGGTGTCGATTCTGGCGTGATTCTCTAAACTTCTTCTTTTTCTTTTTTTTTTGGCATGCACGGTTTGTGCATTCAGCTTCTCTAAACTTAATCCTAAATTTAACATCAGTCTCTCTTTTTCATTCTATATAGAGAATGACAAGGAAACACTGTTGTCAAGTTTAAGTTTAGATTTAGAGAATCGTGCCAGAATCGACACCAGTTTATATTAACGATGGATGAGTTGATTCATGTTTTCGTCAATGATTTAGTAAATGACGTGATTGCTGCTGCTGTGCTAAGGCGCCGCCGTTGTGAGAGCAAGAGGGCCCATTTGAAATGAGGGACGCCGACTTCATAAAAAAATTTCGTTTAAACGAAAATTTGGTTAGAAATCTATAAAGTTATGAATGACATTGGTATCGATTCTGACACGATTCTCTAAACTTAAAACTAAATTTAACATCAGTCTCTCCTTTTCATTCTGTATGGAGAATGACAAGGATACACTGTTGTCAAATTTACGTTTAGGTAGAGAAAATCATGCCAGAATCAACACCATTTTCTTATTGACGATACGGAGTTTTTGGCGGGATTTCTGCGAGTGTGGTTGGCGTCTTATTTTAATTATTCTAAAATTCGTTCATAGTGGATATTGTGAAATAAAATTGGTGTGATTTGGTGTTACAACCGTCTGCGCAACTGAAGAATTAGTGGAATCTTTAATATGTACGCTATTCCGGTCAAGTGGACGCGAGAACTTTATTGTAGTGTTGACTACCTCACAGAAGCTTAGAGAAAAAGCCAACTCCATAAATTTCGTGCCAAACACTCCAAAAAACATTAGAATGCGTCACACCGACATTCTAATGTAAAAAAAGAAGATTAATATAACTAAAGATTAGGCTGTATGGGCATTGTTCCCTTTGTCTTCCCTAAAAAGGGAGAATCTTAAATAATATTGACGTTTCATTATACATAACGTTGAAATTATACACGCATACAATTTAGGTAAAGTTGAGATTTCTTATACTCAAAAAATGTATACTCATATTTAAAATGAATGGAATTCATAAAATATGATTTTGTTGCTTGTAAAATTCTGCTCTAATGTATTATTATTTTATATAGACTATGATGTTAACTTAATCGAGAAAAACGGAACGCATTCGGCAGTGACAGAATATCTACGATTGATATAATATCATTGGAATATCGAAAATTCACGAGAATAGCATTTTTTACCATAAGTAGATATTTTCAATAGATATCCCTCCTTTCGATATTATCTCGAAGCCGATATAATATCTACGCCGCGAGAATTGGGCCCCTGGAGTTTACTCCTTAAGTTCGATAGTCTAACCAGACGCAAAAAGAGTTTATTTAACTTAAAAAAGATTGACACTGTATGAAAGGGTAAATTAACAAATTAATGAAAATAATATACATATATAAATATATATTTATTCATTTCATATACATTTATTATAACTAGTCGACGAAATATTTTACATTAAACTTTTTACAATAGTAAATTTCAGATGTGCATAAATATATCATTAGCAATGTTGATAAATTATGTAATGTTTTTATTTGTTTTGTTACCTTAAGTCATGGTGGGCGATAACAGAGTCATGTTGTTAAGTTAAATATTTGTAAGGACAAATCTCAGTTTGTCCTTGGTGGGCGATTATGTATACGCCATTTGTGCATTTAAAATTTTAGTTCATATGTATCAAAATAGATGGCGCTGTAGTTCGTTGCATCACGCTTGTAAATATGTTTGGAGCTACATATAGGCAAAAAATAAAGAAATCTATGGTCTAACAAAATACACTGTAGTTTCAATTTAATGCTTTTGCACCTAAGCTCTCGGATTTAAGAGTCATTTTGGCTCGAACAGGATGCGCACCAAAAACGTAACGAGGTCATTCATCGATAGATTTTACTCACATTTTTCTAATACCGGGCCCCTTATATATGCAAATCGATTCTTAAGGAGTAATCTCCAAAATGTAGAAGACTTTTTAGTCATTTTTTTGCAACTGAATCCTCATGAGTTGTACTTTTATGCATAAAATAATTAGCTTTGTAACTTTGATGAAAGTTATGAAAATGTCGATCCGAAGTGAAAAATTTACGAATAGACGTCAATGTTCCGGCCAGCCTGTAGAATGAAAGGGACATGATTATGTCCGCGCCCCGTCTGGCGTCTTACGTCTTCTCTGTGTGTCCCGCACCTTACCAAACTAGAACTAAGTAATGTTACATTTCCCACAAAACCGTACAACAAATTGTAGAGATATTGTTACGTTAAATAAAACTAGTTTTTACGGGTTAATGCACGAAACTTTATTTATTTATTGACGTTTCGCAGCCTTTTCAGGTCTGCATCGTCAGAATAATGATTTTATTCGTCAATAAATAAATAAAGTTTCGTGCATTAACCCGTAAAAACTAGTTTTATTTAATGAGTGATGTGCGTGAAAACCTAAGAAACAAATATATTGTTACGTTGTCTATGTAGGTAGTTTGTCGGTGCGTACGTGCTCGCAAAATGGAGGAAGTTCCATTAGTACTGACACGGGCGTGACGTCAGACCGGAAGACTGTTCGCCGAATTTGTAACTGAAGTTAACATAAATATGCCTGCCTCGGTAATGGATGCTACGGGGTTATTTATTTAAATCAAGATAATGGATCACTGCTAAAGATAAAAATAACATCTTCAATGTTGAAATTGTAACTGAGATTTATTTATTTTGTCTACGCTGCTTGGGGCAATTCTTTTAATGTAGAAAGTACATTCCTATTTAAAAAAAGGTGTTTAAGAATATTTTTTAAAAAATATAGCGACGAATCAATGGGTAATATTTTTAAAGAAAAACTAATTTTAACATTGATCTGTATTTATATATTAGAAATGTGTAAATTTTTAAGAAGTCGCATGTCTAAATTCCCAAAGATTTCTGACAAGAGAGCTAGAATAACCCCGATGAGATGTGAAGAATGTTTGAAAAAAGTACTTATATGTCTGCCATATGAATATACAGTAATTTACCGCTTTATCTGCGGTCACTTACTGAATATAAGTTTGTAAGGTCCCTGAAGCAATGGTTAATATATAATGCATTTTATAATCTAAATGAATATTTTAATAATAATGTTTTGTAAAAATGACTATTGCATGCCCGATTAGGGTAACTGTTTATTTCAATTGTGTGTACTAACATTTTTGCAATAAAGAATTATTCTATTCTATTCTAAGCTCTTCAGGAAGTTAAAAATCTACACAATCAGAGTTTATTGACTTTTAAGGCTTATGAAATTAAAAAAAAGCTTTGTGTATGTTTACGGATATATATATAACTAGCGGCCCGCCCTCGCTTCGCTTCGGTGTAGAGCTGAAGTGTAGACTACAGTTTTTGTTCTCAGGCTTGTATTATACGCAATGACATTCATCTATGATTCTTCTTCAATATTGACAAATTTTCATACAAACTTTCATTATTTTATCCCCTTGGGGGTAGAATTGATCAAAATCCTTTCTTAGCGGACGCCTACGTCATAACATCTACCTGCATGCCAAATTTCAGCCCGATCCGTCCAGTGGTTTGGGCTGTGCGTTGATAGATCACTATGTCAGTCAGTCCCCTTTGAGTTTTATATATATAGATATAACGGATGTCAAATATGACGTTGCGTATGGTATCTTTCAGCGTTGCTCTGCCAACGCTGCAGGGGATTTATGGGCTTGAAATAATTTTAAACATTTATGTAGTTATAGATAGCCTCTTTATTTAGTTTCAATGAACTTAAGCTTTATGCGTGTGGCGGGTGAATGACTAGCCTCGATATTTATAGCCATAACGTGCCACGTAATCTTAAAACGTGCTAAATAGTCTTTAGTAAAGATGCAGGAGTATGTTCGTTCATGCGATCGTACTCACAGCATTGTCAGTAGTCCAATATTTAGAACGAACTATAACTGCATCACACTATCCAATTTGTTACGGTTTTGTATTAATTGACGGAACTACGAACTTAGGAGGCGGAAATTAGACTGGACGTGTCATGTCAAAATACGTTTACGCACCATGCACGTACTAAACATGGTTCAATTCACACGTAAAATTGTACCTATGATATTTTTATTTTGTTTATGAAAGTTTACTACTAAAATGTTTTGGGGTTAATTGTTAGGAAAATGTTTTTAGTTTTTTGGTTTATAACCTACTAGCTGACCCACCGAACTTCGTACCGCCCTAAAAAAATAGGGGTTGTCCAGCGGACAAAATTGTGAATCTAAACCATTCTCAGATCCCCTTGAACACACACAAAAAATTTCATCAAAATCGGTCCAGTCGTTTAAGAGAAGTTCAGTGACATACACACTCACAGAAGAATTATATATATAAAGATATGGTTACTACAAATTACAAGACTAGACAAATAAGAAACACTTTTTAAATAGTTGCGACTTCGAAAGGTTTTCGCACCGACTTGCTAGGTTTAACATTTAAAATGCAACGATTTCAAAATAAATGAAAATTGAATCGTGCAAAATCGCCAAAAGAAATATGTTTCAACTTATTACTAACCGTGCTTTAACTTTATTTAATTACTAGCGGCCAGCCCTCGCTTCGCTTCGGTGTAGAGCTGAAGTGTAGATTACAGTTTTTGTTCTCAGGCTTGTATTATACACAATGACATTCATCTATGATTCTTCTTATACCTGCATGCAAAGTCTCAACCATACAAACTTTCATTACCTATTTTATTGATCTAATTCCTTTCTAAGCGGATGCCTACGTCATAACATCTACCTGCATGCCAAATTTCAGGCCGATCCGTCCAGTGGTTTGGGCTGTGCGTTGATAGATCACTATGTCAGTCAGTCACCTTTGAGTTTTATATATAGAGATATATTTTTAATTATGTACAATTCTTAACTGTTTCTTTTACGTACGGCACATTACGGACAGAGGCTGTTGTATCAATGTGTTTTGTGTCCACCCTTTGGCTAAAATAAAATCTAAAAAAGTGTCTCCTACATTACATCTATACGCGTCAATTGACTGATGTTAAATCTTTTTAGGCCCTGTATATGAAATTCCAGGCACGTTTTCAGTGCCCTCTTATGGGCACGTATAAGCACGATTAAACTACCGACATGAGCCGGCTCCTTCGACAAATAATACTGCTTAAGCTGATAGGATTTGCAGTAAATAACTATAAGTTCGTTATTACAATTCTTTGCAACTTAGTCCACAGAATGCGGGCCTCCCGGTTTAGTATAAATCACAAAAAATACTGAGAATTTATATAATTCAGCGAATGAATCAGTCTTGCCGGCTTGAGTCACCCGCCGGACCGATAGACAGCTGATGGACGCCCCTTGCTGTCTGCTTATCTCAATTTATTGTGCTTTTGTATTTCAAATTCCTACATGGTTGCGTAATCTGTGATGTACATGAAATATTTTGTTTCACAACTATTTCGTACTGAAAATTAAAGAGATCTATATCTGGTGATATTCAGCGCCTTAAATATTATGGCTCAAGCAGACGATAACGAAATGTAGATAACATCTGCTGTTATCATAACAAGCACAGTTATCCTCCTGACATTATTGTTGTATAGCTTCTGTTTATGCGATTAACGTTAAGTAAAAACTATGAATTATTGCACACTGACTTTAGGAATGGTGCATGGAACCTTCAATGATAAAATAACATGGGCTTTAATGCAGTGTCGAGTACCTCATACCGTTTATAGGCATTCCTCCAACAAAGAATTTGACGATCTGGAGCTCTGTTATTGATTCGCTCGCTTGACATAGTATCGTCAAATGCGATTTAAGTCACTTTCGACTTCACTTCGACCCTTTAAAGACATTCCTCCAACAAAGAATTTGACGATCTGGAGCTCTGTTTTTGATTCGCTCGCTTGACATAGTATCGTCAAATGCGATTTAAGTCACTTTCGACTTCACTTCGACCCTTTAAAGACATTCCTCCAACAAAGAATTTAACGATCTGGAGCTCTGTTTTTGATTCGCTCGCTTGACATAGTATCGTCAAATGCGATTTAAGTCACTTTCGACTTCACTTCAACCCTTTATAGGCATTCCTCCAACAAAGAATTTGACGATCTGGAGCTCTGTTATTGATTCGCTCGCTTGACATAGTATCGTCAAATGCGATTTAAGTCACTTTCGACTTCACTTCGACCCTTTATAGGCATTCCTCCAACAAAGAATTTGACGATCTGGAGCTCTGTTATTGATTCGCTCGCTTGACATAGTATCGTCAAATGCGATTTAAGTCACTTTCGACTTCACTTCGACCCTTTATAGGCATTCCTCCAACAAAGAATTTGACGATCTGGAGCTCTGTTATTGATTCGCTCGCTTGACATAGTATCGTCAAATGCGATTTAAGTCACTTTCGACTTCACTTCGACCCTTTATAGGCATTCCTCCAACAAAGAATTTGACGATCTGGAGCTCTGTTTTTGATTCGCTCGCTTGACATAGTATCGTCAAATGCGATTTAAGTCACTTTCGACTTCACTTCGACCCTTTAAAGACATTCCTCCAACAAAGAATTTGACGATCTGGAGCTCTGTTTTTGATTCGCTCGCTTGACATAGTATCGTCAAATGCGATTTAAGTCACTTTCGACTTCACTTCGACCCTTTAAAGACATTCCTCCAACAAAGAATTTAACGATCTGGAGCTCTGTTTTTGATTCGCTCGCTTGACATAGTATCGTCAAATGCGATTTAAGTCACTTTCGACTTCACTTCAACCCTTTATAGGCATTCCTCCAACAAAGAATTTGACGATCTGGAGCTCTGTTATTGATTCGCTCGCTTGACATAGTATCGTCAAATGCGATTTAAGTCACTTTCGACTTCACTTCGACCCTTTATAGGCATTCCTCCAACAAAGAATTTGACGATCTGGAGTTCTGTTATTGATTCGCTCGCTTGACTTAGTATCGTCGAATGCGACTTAAGTCACTTTCGACTTCCAAGTCGCATGATACTGATTTTCCGTATTTTTGAATCATGCATCTACAGTGTTACCAGTTTAATACAAAATATTTATTTTTTACTAATTTCACAGAAAAAGAAGAAAAGCAGTCATTACCGCTGTGAAAAATTAACGTATAATTTTCAATAACTGGTTATTTAATCTTTTGCCTTTTTTGTAAGAAAAGATCAAAACGTCGCAACAAATCGTCATTTTATCTGTATTTCAAAAATATTGAGAAAAATCTTGAAAATATCTGATATAAATTTAACAATTGTTCTAACATTCGCCTCCATTATTCGCCAACGCGCAACGAGTGGTCGAGACCACTCGTTGACTTCGAGCGATTCTAAAATACGTAATTTATTATATCGATTTAAAATTAGTATAAATCGAGCGTTCGACGCAAGGCGAGTGTTTCAGAAATAGAGCTCCTGGTTAAGGATCTCAGGAAGCCTCAAAAATGCTTTCGCACGTCAAGAGCAGAGGCGCAAGCATGTAACTTTGAAACCTCCATAATCGTATCGCATCGTCAAATCTTGTATGGGAGGAGTCCGTTTGTTCTTACGTCCGTCAAAATTCGTGTCTGGGCCTCTGGGCTGTCCACCAACGGTCGTTATGGAATCTTTGTGGGGAATCTTATCCTAGCAGTGGACGCTTATTGACTGAGAAGAGATGATGACGTACACAGATGAGGAACTAGGTGACCTGAAAATTTTATAAATAGGGTATTTGACATTATTAAAAATAAAGTGCCAATAGTTATCATCTGTGTTTAGAATGAATATTGGCAGGGGTTTTTACTATTTTTACAAAAAAAATATTCATATTTTTACTAAAAACCCACGAAAAAGATTATAGTTTTTTTATCTATTATCACGTGACCCAAAACGCTTGGGATTGGTCGAGCCTAAATGACGTCACACGCAAGTAAACTTCCGGTTAAAGTGACATTAAATTGTATCGTTTGACGTTTTAATAACAGTCGTGTGACGTCACACGCTAGTAAGACGCCATATTGTCCAGAAAAACGTTTACGCGGCAACTTGAAAATGGAGTTTTTGATTTGGTTATTTTTACTGAAATACACAACAGAATGATGAATATCCACTTTTTACGGACTCCATAAACATTAGTCAATAACGTGAGATCGTTTTCTAAAACTTGTCAAATACCCTATTATAACTTAGTCCATCTCAATTATCAGCATGCATGGTCGGTACCGTTTTCTAAAATTGCACAGCCCAATGTCCCTGTTATTAGAATTCTTCTTCGGTGGGTTGCAGGTGGTGCTAGATGGCGAGGAAGTTCAGATCGATATCCTGGACACGGCGGGACAGGAGGACTACGCCGCCATCCGGGACAACTACTTCCGCTCCGGCGAGGGGTTCCTGTGCGTCTTCTCCATCACCGAGCCGGAGAGCTTCGACGCTACGCAAGAATTTAGGTGACTATAGTTCTGATGAAACTAAGATTTGGGAATCATTTCAGGTATAAGTTTCTCGGCAGAACATTCTAATGATTCTGAAAGTGAATACTTTATGATCTATCTATATGAGATGGTAGAATATCAGATATCAGAATAATAATGTAATCCGATAACTTCCTACGTTGAGATGACCTCGGTCGCGATCGGGATTTGGTCATTGTCAATCAAAATGGCACTTAAAATCAGATTGCAAATATTATAGCCTAACAAAATGAGTATATTTGTAGAATTGTTTTTCTACAGTTTTACTCTTTTATTTATAAGGAGATATTGACCACATGAGGAGCTCGATGGCACAGGTGGTTAGCGCTTCGGCTGCGATCGTTGAAGTTAAGCAACTTTCGCAGTGGTCGGTCATTGGATGGGTGACTAAAAATATCTATCTCGAGTTCTTCCATGCTTCGGAAGGCACGTTAAGCTCGTACTGGGCCCGCGTGGTGGGTCATGGCCCAATCTGTCTATTCTATTAATAGGGAAGGCCTGTGCCCCAGCAGTGATGATAATTAACCACTTTGGACTTGGATTTGTAGTGCGAGTAATAAATATTTATCGATGTTATCCCCAGGGAACAGATCCTGCGCGTGAAGAATGACGAGAACATCCCATTCCTGCTAGTGGGCAACAAGTCAGACCTGGCGGACAAGCGGCGCGTGTCCCTGGAGGCGTGCCGCGAGCGAGCCCACGCGTGGGCCGTGCCCTACGTCGAGACCTCCGCCAAAACAAGGGACAACGTCGACAAGGTACACACATACATACCACTCATACATCCACTTGTTACACCTTCATACTGAGCCCACGCGTGGGCCGTGCCCTACGTCGAGACCTCCGCCAAAACAAGGGACAACGTCGACAAGGTACACACATACATACCACTCATACATCCACTTGTTACACCTTCATACTGAGCCCACGCGTGGGCCGTGCCCTACGTCGAGACCTCCGCCAAAACAAGGGACAACGTCGACAAGGTACACACATACATACCACTCATACATCCACTTGTTACACCTTCATACTGAGCCCACGCGTGGGCCGTGCCCTACGTCGAGACCTCCGCCAAAACAAGGGACAACGTCGACAAGGTACACACATACATACCACTCATACATCCACTTGTTACACCTTCATACTGAGCCCACGCGTGGGCTGTACCCCACTCTTATAATGTTCATTCTTCTAAGACTTTATCCTTTCTGGGAGAAGGCTCCAAGAAGGCTATTATCGTAAATAATATCCCTAATCTTATTTCCCACCATCGACCACCCTCTTCCACACTTACGGCAGCACTCAAAGATGTCGATTAAATATTAATTATCCATTAAGTCATGCGTTGTCTTATTTTTAATAAAGCAAAGAGAGACAGCGTCAACAACCGAAATTAAAAGATGATCGACATCTTTGAGTGTGACCATCGGACAATAATAAAAATAGTTCTTCTAATATTTTTACTGAAATTCAAACAATAGGGGTGATGACGGGGTACAGTAAACGAAATTCTATTTAATCCGTGAGTTAGAAGATCAAATAATAATGGACACGTATTTTTTCTTTGCGCTATTATCAACCAAAAAATGACAAAGTTATAGCGCGTCAAAGTTTGGGAGTAGGAGCTCGTGACGTCACTTTTGAGTGAAAATTGTACCAAAACGTGACGTCATGCGACTTTTCAAATCAATATACCTATCTCTGCAATGTTTATATTATGTGAAAAAAGAAAAAATATATGTCCAATACTTTTTGATAATCTACCTGATAAACGAAGAAAAAAAATAGTCATCATCCCTATTGTAGGTAAATGATGTGTATGTTGACAACCAAGGCAAGTAATATTTTCATCATAGTTTTGCCTCGTATATGATTTATCATATTCCTTTAGGTATAAATAGATTTCAAAATTCAGCGTAATTTAAATATGAATATATTTCCGTGTCGTCTGGCACACATCTACACTCCATACAACTGTTCAATGTACATAAAATATTTTGTTCTCATTTCCCTCTACACCGTATGTTTGCATTGTAGAATATCCATTCTATGTATTTAAGCTAAGCTTAAATTCGCTTAGCTTTTATATAGCTAATTTCACGCGGCTTCAGCTTGCAACTTTGATTAGACAATGAATTTATTAGCAAATGTTAATACTTTATTGTATCAATCATTTAGTTAGTTTGACGTTCCAATAAATGCGACATGATTTGCGATCTAGAAGACAGACAGAGATGAGAGAACTTTCTGAATGGGCTTATTCAATATAAATTGAGAGTCAGTTATTTATGCAAGTCTTTATACTTCAGCCCCCTTATTAATAAATGAAGAACACACTAGGATAAGTTAGTTACTCCATGATTTGTCTCTGTACTTTGAATACCAAATGGCATTTGAGTGATATGAATAAAACACGGCGTAAATAGTCTTAAGCTGTGTTTAGTTTTCACGAATTGACCATAGTCAAACTTTTCGGTTTTTTTAACTGGCTGTTGTATTGATGAAAACAGGATACTGTGATATTACCAACTCTTAGTACTGGTTGTCATGTGATTTGTAACAATTTTAGTTACCACCGACTTTTTCAGGGTTTACATGAGACTCAAGATTAAAAGATTCTATATTCAGGGCGCCGTAATACTGTTATTTGAGGGAGATAAATAAAAATGTCAAGAACCGCAGTGAACAAGATATATATTGTTAATATTCAGATCTTATTTCATCATACTTAACAAAATTAATACTATTTATAGACAACTTTATAAATATACAGCTTTTACAACCTCAAAGATTTTAACTTCAGTGATGTTCATACATTCAAGAACATGTGTAAATGCAAAAATATTTATTTAAACATTTTATATAAACATTTGGTTTTGGAAAATAACAAACAATATGTAATGAAATTAGAATTCTTCTTATAGTGGCTTTATAGTTTACTAATATAAATACTTTATTACGTTAAACAGAAATTTTGTTCTTCGGAGTATGCACCGGTTAAATATTGAGAAGGTATAAGTTTTACTTAGCTTTAAGACCACGGGAACATCAAGGTGACTCAAATGTCCTCTGGAATGAATCAGGACGTGCTGTCATCACATGAACCCGTCTACTTTCGATCAAGAATGCTTCACAGGCTCATTTATATTTATATATATATTGCCAAAGAAATCCCAACCAGGATTAAGTAATTGTGATTATCGTATACTGTTTTTAATTAGCCACTTCAAAGGACCTAGAAACAATTACACATTTTTCTATAGTTCAATAAAAAAAACCTAACTTGACCTACAGCCTAAACAGTTAGTTATATTGGACTTACCCGTTAATCCGGGGAAAATATTTTAATTAATTATGCACCGACTATACTTTCCAGTCACTGTGCAATTTACTAGATGTTCAAGTGTTCGGTTCGCAGACAAAAGAGAGTGAAATCGTCTGCGCAAAGCTATTTATAGTGGCCTAGGATCACGTGACGGCGTCCTAGCAAATTTCTCTCAAATCACCATATTTGGTGCGAGGAATTGACAGGACCGGTTAATACGGCTACGCCCATCTCCCTCCAAGAAACTGCTTCCTGAACAATAGCTAATCACGTCATCAATACGTGTAATTTCATTTAACACTATTAAATACAACTCCATCTATCTCATCATTCAAATACAACTATCATATTTTTTTTTTATAATATATTCTGTGCTTCTTTAAAACCAATTACATTGTTAGATGATGGATACGTATGGTGATAGATGGCGCTTTGATTAGTAATATTTCTACAACTTAATATTCTAAAATTATATTGCTACAGATTCAAGACTTATACCGGTGCTAATAGTTGGCGGTGGTTAGCTTATTGCTTCCCGTGGGCTTTGAACACAGACATAGATCTAAATTCACTGCATATATATTATTATGTTTTGACAAAAACATGTCAAAAGAGTGACCAAAGGTCCACCTTTAGTGCTATTTTATCGCGTCACTATTTTTGGCAATGAATGTCGATCGCAATTTTAAATAATGTCTAATTGTGCCAAATTAATCTGTAATAAAAATGATAGGATTGCAAAGGACGGCCGGAGTCCATGCTTTCCACGTCCAATAATCTGTTGACATACGAGTTAAAACACATGCGTCATTATCTGATATCTAGGTCTCTGGCTGTTCGGGTGGTGGGATAGGGGTATGTGTACGTTTGGTGTATGTGTATGTGTACGTATATGTATATGTATGTGTACGTGTGTGCGTGTGCGCAGGTGTTCTTCGACCTGATGCGGGAGATCCGGTCGCGCAAGTCCGACGACAGCCGCGCCTCCAACGGCGACGTCAAGAAGAAACGCAGGAAAATCAAGTGCGCCCTCTTGTAGGCCGGCGGCGAGCGAATCTCGACCCTCCGCCCTCGGCATACAGTCGAATGTAGCCGCGAGATGTTCGTCCGTATCGGTGCTCGCGTTTCAGCCGGGCGTCGCTCTCGATCGAAGCGGGGGGAGAGGCGATATCCCAGTGTTGTTCTCGCCGCGGCCGGCGTAGGATAAGATTTGTATTTATTTGTAATGAGATAAGTGCTACTCGTACTGTGTGATTTGTCAAGTGAGATGGGAGGCCGCGGCCGTCTGTCGCGCTCGCAGAAACGCTCGCGTTCTTAAGAAGACTTTATTAGCAGTAACAGTAATGGCGGTATTAAACAGACAAAAGTCCGAAATAAAACTTTACGGTTTGGTTGTGTTCCTTGTATACAATTACCTACGAAAGTTTGACGCCTTTCAGACCACTTTTATCTTCTTATTAAATTAATAAAAATATCGTTTTACACCTGCCTATGACAATCCTATAAATGCGTACGATCACTACTACCTAAACAGACCCCCCTCTCTCCCCCAGGCACCCCTGCGCCCCGCTCAGATACCTACAAATTTTTATTTCGGAATACATACCTACAAATTTTATTTCGGAATTCTGTAACACTGTATTAGTACAGTATTTTCACGAGTTGGCATCTTATGTGAATTTCGATATGTGATTTCAATCCGTGTGTTTCTGCGCGCGCGCAGACTTGGCGCGTGTATGTTGTGCACTGCTCATGTGTAATGGTGGTTATTTAATCGTTAGTTCGTCGCTTCACAAGACTTCCGTGTTAAATTTTTGGCCGACGCTGACTAATAAGACAGCTAACGCTTTTAAGCTGCTGAGTTAATAAAGTCCTTATTTTAATCGCAGTAACGCTTAATTTGGTATAAAACTTTAAGTCAAAATTGTAAAATGTTTACGACACCCAGTCTTGTTAGTTAGCGCTGGCTTTAATTGTCATTTTGTTTCTTTTTTCACTGCTCGCCTGCAATCTGTTGTGTCTCACTTGTGTATCAAATGTAGAAAAAAAGGAAAAAGCAACATAATTTTAATTGATTTTATCGCTGTAGAATATTGACGTCACAATTTCAATTGATATTAAGTTAGGGAGAACCTCCGATCGATTCCTAATAATCAGAAATTTTACCTGAAACGATAAGTAATTATAATACAATCGAATGCTCGGTATCTGATATAATTATTATTGATGTAATGTAAAGCATGCCGATAGATGTAAGCTGGGGGCCAATCGCCTAACGGAAATGCTTTGGAAAACGCTAACGCTTACGATTTCATTTTGTTATTTCTAGCCGCCTGAGGTTTTCAAATGCCTCGCGCTCTTTTTTTTTCTTTTGCATTGGTAATAACAATATTAAAGAAAATTAGCGTGAGGTATTTGAAAACCTTCGGAGGCCAGAAATCTAATATATAAAATTCTCGTGTCGCGGTGTTTGTGGTTAAACTCCTCCGAAATGGCTTTCCCGATTCTCATGAAATTTTGTGTGCATATTGGGTAGGTCTGAGAATCGGACAACATCTATTTTTCATCCCCCCTAATTTTTTTTTTCAATTTTAGATATATTTTTTTTTTAATTTTTTATGATATATCATACAAAAATACATACATCCCTAAATTTTCAACATTCTACCACCAACCCCTATTTTTTTATGGCGGCACGAAGTTCGCTGGGTCAGCTAGTAACAAAATAAAATCGAAAGCGTTGGCGTTTTCCAAAGCATTTCCGTTAGGCGAATAGCCCCCTGGTCGATGTAATGTGAACGTTAGTTAATTGCTAGCTATGTTTAACGAATGTAAGTGATGTACGCAATCTCGTATTTAAGAATATGCAACTTTTTTTATTTATCAACAAACTGTTGATATCAATGTTAATTTTAAAGGAGGGATGCGTTTGTTCGATATAAATGCCATGAATATATTATTGAAATAAGGGTGGGAGAATCGTCCGAAATGGGTGACTTCATTAGAGTTAGTGGAGCGTGTTATTTCAAATGATGTATATAGAAAACTGCGGAGAGGGAAGCCGTTACTGCCAACTCGTCTATATATTATTAATGGTGAAACACAGCGGTCTCATTGTATAAGTATGCGCAATACTATTTATATAGCGCTTTGTGCTTATGTCAATATAGTTACAATTCATATTTGTAAAGAAGAATACCCACTGTATGGCACTGTTGCAAGTATGCGCTTTTCGCTGGCGAACAAGTTTATATATGTACAAGGAACTTTACTGAGCACTCGCTGAACTTATGTACAAAACTTATCTTTTTCTACCTGAAGATGGAACAGGGGGCCATTCGCCTATCGGAAATGCTTTCATTTTGTTATTTCTAGCCGCCTGAGGTTTTCAAATGCTTCGCGCTATTTTTTTTCTTTTGCGTTGGTAATAACAATATTAAAGAAAATGAGCGTGAGGTATTAGAAAACCTGCGGCGGTCACAGATAACAAAATAAAATCGAAAGCGTTAGCATTTTCCAAAGCATTTCCGTTAGGCGAATTGCCTCCAGGAATACAGCATAGAATTTCATTTCTACGATTAAAAAGTTCCTTAAGGACGAAAGTTCTTTTTCATCAAAGAGAAAATAGAAAAAAGTATGACCTACAATGTCATATGTGAGACCACTGGTGTTGTTTTGAATTGTGTGCGCCGATTGTGAAGTGTTTATGAATAGGGGTGATGACGGGGTACAGTAAACGAAATTCTATTTAGTCCGTCAGTTAGATGATCAAAAAATAATGGACACGTATTTTTTCTTTGGGCTATCAACCAAAAAATGACAAAGTTATAGCAGGTCAAAATTTGGGAGTAGGGGATCGTGACGTCACTTTTGAGTGAATTTTCCCTTATAAGTGTACTCAAACGTGACGTCATGCGACTTTTCAAATCAATATATCTCTGCAATGTTTATATTATGTGAAAAAAGAAAAAATACGTGTCCATTACTTTTTTATAATCTACCTGATAAACGAAGAAAAAAAAATTAGTCATCATCCCTATTATTCATCTCGTCTCCATGTAATCCTGTTTTTTCACTGCGAATCCCGACAGATGGCGTTTGGATGAATTTAACGTGAACGCCTCACACTCGGCGCTTTGAATTATTGTCTGTGGCTTGCTTCACGCGAGCTGTGGTCTGCGCCAAACTAATTATTACCAGATACATTTATTTTTTCACGATTTCATATTATTGTCAATAGAAATTAGAGGTGACGCGAGATCACAGAACCGCGAATATCGCGGCTCTTTTCATATCGTAAAACATAAGGTACCCGTAGCACGAACCAATATCAAATAGTTTGCGAGTCGATGTTAAAAGAGATTGCTGAAATTGGCCCAAATGCACAAAAAATATTATATTACACGGTAATTCTTGGCGTAATTTATAATTTAATTTACAGTCATTGGATTTCAACGGACACCTTTGTATAATATATTTACTTTAAAAAGGACTTTTTAATTTTACCGGTTTGGAAAACATACGAATCGTTTTTAATGGCTATGGGTGTAGTAACATTCAGCCAAAGGCGAAGTTGTTTATATAACATCAAAACATATCTATTTTGTAAAGATCGATACAATAAATCATTTTTTACACTGTGGTATTAATATCCACAACTATATTATCGTATAGGTGTCCGTCAATAATATTCGTTTCTACAGTAATTTATATATAATTTCGAATCTAGAAAACAATTTTTCATGATTATTGGTCTTTAGGCCAAACATGTATGGAAGCTGAGCAATCTCCTTTTGAATGAAAACTTGAACAGCAGAGTCATAACGTACGTAACGAGAACTAAAAATCATGGTTGGTTTGTGCTAAGGGTACAGTAATTGTGATTTTACGGTGTGAATGGAACGCTCAATGGTGGAGGTACGCGTTGTACCGTTTTGTACGTACTGTAATGTACTGAGAGTTATTCCTATAGGTTAGTTTTAAATTCACGAATGTATGGAGTATCGATCTGTGTATGAAATATTTAACAGGCACACACCGGAACAAATTTATAAAGGAATCGAGAAGATATGCAGAAATATAATGATTTGCAAAAGCTTGTTTGTTTATTCGACCCTTTTTACCCGACTGCGCAATGCAAAGGCAAGCGCGCCGACGCCCAGACAGGGTATAGTGTTTAACAGTCTATATATGTATGTTTGATCCTTTGTGGCACACTAGAGACCAAACGCCTGGACCGATTTTGATGATTCATACATCAATCAATTCGTCTTAATCATGGGAGTGCTAATAAATATATATAAGATATGATAGTAATCAAAATTCAATATGGGGACATTTAGGCGCCATATTGTGACGAAGTAAAAAAAATAAGTTGACGAAATATGTCGAGTTGGGTATCATTGTCTAGATAATCGAAAATCATGTTTAGGCTCCCTACACCATTTTTCATTTTATATGACTGTTTAGGATCTACACTTGCGCTTTTAATTTCAATCTTACGTTTGTATGGATCTTTGTTACTTTTTCACCTAAAAAATTCTGAATGGAAAATTTAATGAAACTTTAATATTGTAAAGTTTCATTAAATTAATTATCATGTATGAGCTATACTATTATATAGATCATACATGATAATTAACTAAATTACCTATTTTTATTTAGAAGATTAGCTAGATAGCTACACTTTTAACATTTTCCCTTTTTATTTATACACACACGTAAGCGGTAAATTTTAAACTTCAGTTGCTTTGAATAATGTAAATTATGAATATAATTAATGGATAAAATCTACAGCATATCATTCTGTAGCTACGATAAATTAATCCAACGATACAAGAGCTAGTCCTGGTCAAATCGATACCTAAGTGATGACACTAGTAAATGCGAATGCGTTTCTGTCTGTTACCTCTTCACGCTTAAACTGCTGAACGAGTTTAGATGTTTGTTGAAGTTTTAAGACATAGGATAGTTTTTATGGCCCTATAGGCCAGTCGCGAGCACTCGCTAGTTAAGTAATAAAACAGATGTAAAGTTTGGGCTACTTTTATTTATTTGATGTACAAAAAGGTAACAAACATTCAGTACAAAATTATCTTCATTATCACACAAAAAACCAGGATGCAACCTTTAATATGTACATACTGAGTGACTAAATAATAATAACAGAGTGCTTGACACACAAGTTATATCCGAATCATATTATATATTTTTTCATCCCACCACCTCGGAAAGTGTAATTTTGCGCTTCGAAATCTGGCTGGAAAATTCTATTTTATTCGCTTGAGCGGCAAAGTAGATTTGAATTTAGAACATCACATATAATGAGTACTCAATATAATTGTAAATTCAAAACGTCATTAAACCTATTTAATGTAACCTCTATGGTGCCAAATTTATGATTAGAACTTTTTAAATTGTGAAAAAATTTAAATTTGGAACCTTCTTGGTTTCTTTGTTTTATTTGCGTGCTTCGCGCCATTCTAGTTTTTCACGTTTTATTGCTTAAATATTTTGTCATTATAAATTGTTTTCTTTTTCATTTTGTCATTTCCTCGCTGAGGTGGGATGAAAAGTTACGTATTGCACTCGAGTGGAAAGATTTTTCACCTTGTGCTCGTTTGTTTCCCTCGCTGACGCTCAGGATTCTAATTTAGAATCACTCGCTGCGCTCGTGATTCAACTTTAGAATCCTTCGCTTGCTCGGTCATCCAAATCGAGCACGCGGTTAAAAAGGAACTTTCCACTCTTGTATAATAAATAACTATTTTATACTGGTAAATTCTTTACGATAAATCCGAAAGATTAAGATAGGGTTTGACGACCTCCGTGGCCGAGTGGTTTTTACGCCGGGTTTCATGGTGTCGCCGACTCGAGAGGTCCCGGGTTCGAATCCCGGTGGGGGCAGATGTTTGTATGATGAATACGAGCATTTGTACTCCAGTCATGGATGTTTAATATGTATTTCTATATAAATATACTTATATATGTACAGTATATGTATTCTATCCGTTACCCTAGTATCCCATAACACAAGCCTTTACAGTGCTTACTTTGGGGCTAGGCTAATTGGTGTGAGTGTTGGAAATATAGAAAAAAATGGTATAGGCGATGATGTGAGCCCACCCCGCAGGCGTTCCTGACGCTGATCCGCGAGATGTCGCGCCAGAAGAGTGGGCGGCCTCCCCCCGCCCCGCCCTCGGACTCCGCCCCCCCGCGCTGTGCGCCGCCCTGTTGCTGCATCAGCTAGCCGACACACACTACGTTCTATTTATAAGCTTTGTCGCCTTACGCCATACATATCCCACTCGCATGTAACACGGTATGATAACTATAAGGAAAGGTAACGGTGAATCCATGCTAGCGCAGTTTCGAAGTGCATCGAATCGAATTTCTGGAACGTAACAAAGGCAATTCACCATTATTTTCGCAACGTAATGTAATGTGTTTTATTTATATATTTTAAGCATTTAACTGCTAGATGTTTGAATCTAAAGAAGTTTTACTAGAAAAAAATCTACGCAGATCAGGCAGCGGACGGGACTCGAACCCGCACCCCTCGCAATCCGGGCGAATGCACTGACCAATTATGCTACTACGGCCCTGATGGCCGCGTCGAAATTTTCCTAGCCTTAAGCTGCAAGGCAGCGCCATCTCCGCACCGCAGGTAACCCACAATGTCTAATGAATACTTTTTCAAGTATTAAACATTTGAAAGAAGAAATAGCAATTATAGTTATGTTTTACGTAATGTAAGTTAAGATAATGCAAGGGCGGATCCAGCTTTGGCGCCAGGGGGGGTCATATAGCCAGCTTTGGCGCCAGGGGGGGGGGTCATATAGTCGCGGTATATTAAATATTGAAAGTACTTAAATAAAATCCCCCTAGTTTTAGCCCATCTGTACCCAGCCCAGGGGGGCGGTCATGACCCCCCCCCCCCTGGATCCGCCCTTGAGATAATGTACATATTCTTTTCAGAGATAAAATAAAGACACACGAACGAATATGTCAGCGGCGATACGGGTGAATTTGCAATGTTTCTATTTCTGAAATTAGCTTTAATGCGTTTCGTCTCTGCGCCATTATCCAAGAGCGCTAAACATCGCGGGTACAGGCTTAAAACTTTCGACAGTTGATGTCGTTATATTGCTATATCACTAGAGTCTGTGCGGAAAGAGAATGGGCGTGGCGAAAAACGGAACTAACATTAAGATTTTTATTTGGCAATCAAACCCAGCAATCTGTAAATCGTCAAAGTTTTGTATTGATCCGTTTTTGTTTGTTGTTGCGATTTCTTGCGGTTTTTTTTAATTTTTAATTTAATCATGTCTAAAATTGGAAAACCTTACAAATACGGTAGAAAAGCACTACAGCGCCATGCAATCTAAATCCCATTCTGTTTCCGCACAGACTCTATCGTAGTTTAATAAGTGGATAGATCCTACCATATCGTGAGTGTACTGCTAGCTCGCTCGCAGCTTATTAAATAAAGTTCCTAAAGATCTGGTGACTAAGGAAGGGTACGAATAACAGCTCGTCAGGTTGCTACAAAATATCCAAATTCTGCAATTGATATATGGTTTATTTCTTCTATGTAAAAAGGGCGAGAAACAAGCATATAGCCTGCCTGATAGTAAGCGGCTATAGACGTATCTTATAGACGACTAGCGGCCCGCCCTCGCTTCGCTTCGGTGTAGAGCTGAAGTGTAGACTACAGTTTTTGTTCTCAGGCTTGCATTATACACAATAACATTCATCTATGATTCTTCTTATACCCGCATGCATTCTCAGCCCGATCGGTTTAAAATTGACAAAGTTTCATACAAACTTTCATTCCCTATTTTATTCCCTTGGGGGTAGAATTGATCGAAATCCTTTCTTAGCGGTTGCCTACTTCATAACATCTACCTGCATGCCGAATTTCAGCACAATCCGTCCAGTGGTTTGGGCTGTGCGTTGATAGATCACTATGTCAGTTAGTCACTTTTGAGTTTTATATATATATATATATAGATTGCGATATCGAAGCTTATAACTCTCCTGTTTCAATCCCCTGTGTTCCAGTTCCCTTCCAGGGCACCTTACCACAGTAACAACACACAAAAGGTTTATTTTACTATGTTTTTCTGTAAGGTAAGGTGGAGGGGACTTCCTCCGACAGACGCTCTAATTCGAGCGGTAGATATAGTTGAAATCCAATTAGAGAATTTTGACAATTTTGTATTAACCTGAAGAGGTGCTGTGTATAATGATGTATGTACACGTTTACCACAGACACGATTATGCTTTATTGATACTTGATAAGGATAACGTTTTATCGTAACAACCAACGGTTCTTTGGGGTAAACCGTGAGGCTAAGCCCGCTGCGGCTGCGGTACCGCAACTCGCGTAGAATTTGAAAATGTAGGTAAAACGCAAAAGCAAATTTTATGGCGCCTGCGGGACACGATTACCCTTAGACCCGGCAAGCTTCGCCCGAACTCGCAGCCGCGGCGAGATTTTGAAGTGAAACTTCTTTACGCACATTTGACTTCGGGAGTAAGCTGGCGAACGCGTTACGAAAAGTGTGTTCGGGCGAGGCGAACGGAAGTTGTTGTGAATTTTCTTTCTCTCTTTCTCTTATAGCTAGTACATGAAATATGTATATATAATACACACACATATATATATATATATATATATATAACATACAGATGGAGCTAAAGAAGTTTCACTTCAGTCGCGTGGTCATAAGCACACTCGTTTTTTTTTAATAAAAAACCGCCTCGTGTGTTCTTAGCCCGTTAGTCTCGACTCTATCTCCAATTATGTAGATAAATTACCTATTTGGTAATAGCAGCTTTGGTGTTTCCGCGCTGCAGGTGGGTGCTACTGTTTAGTTTGTAGGTATGTTATACAATTGACATAATGTTCATTATGCTATGTACAATTTATGTGCATGCCCTTCGATAGCCTGCAGTGGAAAACTTAGGTGTCGTTTCATCTAAGAGTCCACATTCGGTGAGTCATAGCGTTCGACTTACAACAGCTACATATCCTTCTGGCTACAATTTTTTTAAGGTCCTGCTAAATCTTTATGTATACGAAACCTGCACCCGTACCTACTTATTGACCCGTACCCAGGGGCCGTATTATGAACACTTAACGCCAGGCAAAAACAGCAGTTGAAGTGGGATGCTGCTCTAATAATAATAATAACAATAAAAACATTATTTTCTCTCCACAATCTTATACATGCTTCATAAGTTACTTCATAATATTATAAAACTTGAGACTTATATAGCACATAGCGACATCCCTTTCTAACTATGCTCAAGACTAGATCAATCACTGAAAACCTTTCTGTAATACGGGCCCTTATGTCACATATATGAGATGAGAGAGATAGTTATTAGACTGTCAATCCCATAGTCTCATCTAAGGTGAATGATCTCTTGTATCGCTCTCGTTGGCCGTACTTTAACTTTTATATCAATGTCATTTCTGCAGCAATGTCATTTCTGCAGTATACACCTTTGATAGTAAAACCAATCTTATTACAATGTTCTTAAGGTTTATATTTTGTATAGTTATTTTTACACGTGAATGACCCTGTGAGACAGTGTTTTCAAGGGTATATTTATTATAAAGCTGGCCATAATATGGTTATCAATTTTGTAAAAATGTTTTAAATAACCTTTTTCTTTATATCTAGGATAAGATGAAAATATAGTTTTCAATTTGTATAACTGCGACCAGTTTAAGCGCAATCATGTCTAGTGTATGTAAATAAAGTGAATCAGTATTAAGTAATATTTATCTCAGCGTGTGTAGTAAGTACACAGCAAGTGTGCAATTCAGGTATTCATAGATCGTGAATAATGTTTTAATAATAAAAAGTCTTAATAATTGTAAATGTTTATCATTTATTTCTCTCCGTATATAAAAAAATATTTATAGATTATAAAAGTTATAACTACATTTTCAGTCTGTAAACAGGTTGTTACCCTTATATTTAAAATATAGGTAGGGGAAACTACCCAAACATTGGCACTTTTGAGTTTAGTACGAAAAAATTGGCAGCATTATTCCTACAATCTATTGTTTCCAATAGATTGTAGGAATAATGCTAGCAATTTTCAAATTTGGAAACCATACTAGGTTTTTCTTTTTAATATGTAACGACCTTGAATAATCTATTGTCTCCTTGTTTTTCCGAATTAAACTCAAAAGTGGACCAATAATAGGACGAGTGCCAATGCTTGGGTGGTTTCCCCTATGTTAAATTTAACAACTATTTAAAAATTACACTATAAGCTTAAACTAAGTGGAGTTATTTGTAACGTATTTAAGCTAAATTTATCAAATGAATAAATTGTAATACGTATTACAAACTTAGTCACCACAATATAAATGATTTAAGAAAATAATAACAATTATTTTTGGACACGTATCAATTTCTCACACAAAGTAAACGTCAAATCAGTCTAAATATATATACAAGAGCTTATTATAAAATAAGAATATTTAGTATTCATTACAGAAATGTTAGGCAACAAAAATTTGGTTATTTGTACGTAATATCCTCTGAAATATGTACCTGAAAGTTGGCGTAAGAACTTACGAATGTCCGAATGATCAAGCGAGCTCTCCCGGTAGAAAGAGAATTTAGACAACATTGAAGCAAGTTTATTCATATATGTACATATTATTCGGTCCGAGTGGACCAAATATAAATATAACGAAGACAGAATGTATGTTAGTTAACCTTTTAACATAAGAAACAAAGAGATTTGCATTGCAAAACAGTTAAGGTACTCATTCATCACTGCAAAGCTATATAGAGGTTATATTAATATCAGTTATAACACAACATTACAGGAAAATATCTAAGAATAGAAGAAACAAAACAGCAGGTATATTACTAGCTAAGAATAGTAAAATAACAATTTCTAAAATGTTTCTATATTTAGCGGTAGCTGCTGTTCAGCTCCCGCTAAATATACTTATAAATAAAGAAAAGAAGACGGGATGCCTGTTGATACGATTTGCTATTGACATTGCATTGACTTTAAATTGACTAGGACATGACTGGCCTTACAAATTGTATTTCAATGAGGGATTTCCTAACAAATACTAAGAATAAGTAATATTTTTATTTTTCAAGTATTAAACCACTAGCTCTTGCTTATTAAATAAATAAATATATATTTCCAACACTCACACCAATTAGCCTAGCCCCAAAGTAAGCACTGTAAAGGTTATGGGATACTAGGGTAACGGATAGAATACATATATTGTACATATATAAGTATATTTATATGAAATACATATTAAACATCCATGGCTGGAGTACAAATGCTCGTATTCATCACACAAACATCTGCCCCCACCGGGATTCGAACCCGGGACCTCTCGAGTCGGCGACGCCATGAAACCCGGCGTATAAACCACTCGGCCACGGAGGTCGTCAAAATTCAAGTATAATGATTGCAATATAGTTATTATTGTGAACTTCCGTGGCTGAGTGTCGTACGCCGGGTTTTAAGGTATAATATTAGTATAATGTATAAGTGATAGAACTTAACAAAGCTTGTCAGAGCAATGCTTGGAAACTTTACAGCAGTCTTATGCCATTTTAAGGCATGAAAAGGACATACTAATGTCAGTTTTACAAATAGCAAACATGAATATCCAAGTGAAGTGTAGACATGATGAGATGTTAGAACATTCCTCATTGAAATAGCTATGTTTGAAAAGAGATCGACGGGCCTTACTGCTTTTAATTAGATTTCATTTAAATGAACTATGTACCAAATGATATTTGTATATTACAAATGAATCCCGGCAAACGTTTTGAGCATAAACCATGAGCGACGGTGCTTGCGCAGTAGCAATTTTGCATACAAAAACATTACACACTTTTTTTGGCTGGTAGTGTAAATACATGTACAGTGTGACCAAGATTTTATGGTTGCGTGGCCGAAATCGTAACACATTTTAAGAAGGTAAATATGCACCTTTTTATTAATATCATGATCATCATCATCAGCCTATTAATGTCCCCACTGCTGGGGCACAGGCCTTCCCTATGGATGGAATAGGGAGTTTGGGCCATGACCCACCACGCAGCCGGGACCAACGGCTTAACGTGCCTTCCGAAGCGCGGAGGAACTCGATATAGTAAATTTTTGGTCACCCATCCAATGACCGACCACTGCGAAAGTTGCTTAACTTCAACGATCGCAGCCGAACGCGCTAACCACTTGCGCCATCGAGCTCCTCAATTATTTATTAATATAGGAAGGTGTAATTCAGCCTTTTATATTTCCTATTATTCTTTCCGAGTTATTGTAAATTATAATGTTTCCTAAGTGCGCAGATGTTACGAACTTACATTTGATTTTTTTAAACATTTAACTGCTAGATGTTTATAATCTAATCTAAGCTAGGCAGGAGACGGGACTCAAACACGTACCCTCCGTACCACATTACGTACTTATTTCACCAACAGCCCCCCACAAAGTCATTCAAGTGCCACAAGATCTTGGTGGCATTGTACTGCTCAAGAGGAGCTCGACGGCGCAAGTGGTTAGCGCGTTCGGCTACGATCATTGAAGTTAAGCAACTTTCGCAGTGGTCGGTAATTGGATGGGTGACCAAAAATTTACTATCTCGAGCTCCTCCGTGCTTCGGAAGGCACGTTAAGCCGTCGATCCCGGCTGCATCTGCAGTCATTGGCACCCACCAATCCGCACTGGGCCCGCGTGGTGGGTCATGGCCCAATCTCCCTATTCCATCCATGGGGAAGGCCTGTGCCCCAGCAGTGGGGACATTAATAGGCTGATGATGATGTACTGCTCAAGTTTTGTGCGTGGTTTTGCTCAAGAGAATCGCTGCTACCTAAGGAGTGGTGATACGTAGCTGGTGATGGGGATCGGCCGAGGTCAGCCCAGCTGGCACTGGTGTCCGCAGCCCGCGGGGCACAGTGGGTGCTGCTGCATCCAGTCCCGCATGTGCAGCAAATGTCCCCCGTGGGAGCACCCCTGGCACCACGCGTATAGACCGCGGACAACCTAATAAATGAACAACACGATAGGGATGATGACTAATTTTTTTTTCTTCGTTTATCAGGTAGATTATCAAAAAGTATTGGACGCGTATTTTTCTTTTTTTCACATAATATGAACATTGCAGAGATATATTGATTTGAAAAGTCGCATGACGTCACGTTTGAGTACACTTATAAGTGAAAATTCACTCAAAAGTGACGTCACGAGCCCCCACTCCCAAACTTTGACGCGCTATAACTTTGTCATTTTTTGGTTGATTGCCCAAAGAAAAAATACGTGTCCATTATTTTTTGATCATCTAACTGATGAACTAAATAGAATTTCGTTTACTGTACCCCGTCATCACCCCTATTTCTGACACTATTTTTTGATGTGTAATATCTTTCCTCTCGCTTTCCCGCAATTTGTGGGAGTGATTGCGTGAAGTGGGACGGAAGTGTGTAACAGGAAGTTTGGGAAACGCACGCTATTTAATTTGATTCTAGAACTTAATGTTCAAAGGGCTTATTCCTTTCGTAGTAAGGTTTTATTTCTTTTTTTACTAATACAGTGAAACCTGGTTAATTGGGATCTCAAGGGACACGATATAGGTGTATCAATTATTGAGGGTATCCAATAATCTAGTTTTCTAATTAAGCAGGTTTAAAATTATAGTTGTCTCATTTACAGAGGCCCCCGCTTACAGAGGTCGAAATGTGCCGTTATTCCCTAGTTTTTAGGTCAAAACCTGAGATAGTACTGACAAACAAAGCATGCGCGAAAGACGACGCGAAATGTATGTAAACAAACATGTCAAAACGTGCTACAACCTGATTAATTGGTCTCCCTTATACAGGTAATTGAATTACAGAGTCTCAATTATAGAGGTAAACATCGAAAGAGTCTTAGAATTCAAATCTCATTTAACCAGGTTCAAAAAGTCCCATTAACAGAGGTAATTTAATGAAAAAGAACCGGGACCTCATTGCAACTCTCAATAATAGAGGTTTCTCACTTAACCAGGTTTCACTGTATAAGGGTAGGGACACGATATCGAATAGAAAGTATCGATACTGTACTCATGAGTGGTATCGGTAAAAAAGTAAACTTCCGGTCAAAGTGACATTATATTGTATCGTTTGACGTTTTAATAACAGTCGTGTGACGTCACACACTAGTAAGACGCCATATTGTCCAGAGAAACGTTTTCGCGACAACTTGAAAATGGAGTTTTTGATTTGGTTATTTTTACTGAAATACACGACAGAATGATGAATATCCACTTTTTACGGACTCCATAAACATTAGTCAATAACGTGAGATCGTCGCCTAAAACTTGTCAAATACCCTATGGAAGTTTCAGAAGGTTTGCTATGTTTTAACAGAACGGCGTTGCCATCAATATGAAGCGCTTATCCAAATTTTTAAAGGTATCGATACTTGCCAAAAAGTACTCATTTAGTAAAAGTATCGAATACAAAGTATCGAGTACAAAAGTGTCGGTATCAAAAGGAAAAGTACTCGATACCACAAAGTATGGATACTTTTTTCGTGTCCCTATATAAGGGGAGGTTTCAAATGTTACACATCACACGCGACTACTGTAAAGGCCGCCCGTTTTTTTGACGTGACAACGTCTTAAATTAGGTTGCGGCTGGGAGTCACTTATGAAAAAGTGTAACGCTCGGTAACGTTACGATGAGTCTCTCGTGTTAAGTTTAAGTTTACATGTACAATGTTTTAGTAAACAAAATATATTTCTATAGTTAAAATTTGTGCAATTCTTATTTTCATTCAATTCCTTGTTCCTATTGTGCAATTTAATTATATTCATATCAATAAATATTCTACCGAGAAAAAGACGTTGTCACGTAAAATCTTCGCCCGTAAAACCGACTTTACAGGCAACCATTTTTTTTTCTTTCTATTTTGTTGGGTTTGCGCGAGTTGTGCGTCATGTTTACCACTGACCTGGTGGCACACGGCGCACACCTCGGGCAGCTGTCGCGGCAGACACCGGTCGCAGGGCGCGTGGGGCCGGGTCCTTCGCCCGCATCTGCCGCAGCACTGCGCCACGCTGGTGGACTGCTGCGATATCGACCAAACGCTGCTCAGCCACGCGTTACGGATCACCTGACAATTATATAACTGAAACTAGCAAACCTGGCGAACTCCGTTTCGCTTCGTTTTATGTAACATTTCGTTTGGTGATTAAAAGAAGATTTTCTTTTTAATTTTTCCTGAGTTTTCTTTGCTATAAACCTCACGGAGCCCGAGACCTTTCCAACGAATGCAAAACCGTGGAAATCGGTTCGTGCGTTCTGGAGTTATAGCGTCAGGAAGGAAAACCCGACTAATTTTTATATAGTAGACTAGTTTTTACGGGTTAATGCACGAAACTTTATTTATTTATTGACGTTTCGCAGCCTTTTCAGGTCTGCATCGTCGGAATAATGATTTTTTATCACAAATAAAAAATCCTTATTCGTGCATTAACCCGTAAAAACTAGTTTTATTTAATGAGTGATGTGCGTGAAAACCTAAGAAACAAATAAATTATATAACTGGCTGAGACCCGTTCCTATCGCAGAGGGAACTATCGCACTCTGTTTGGGCATAGAATGGAGTCTTCTTTAGTAAAAACTCGGTGTTTTTTAGTAATTTCGCTTTATGTTATAATAGATACAATTTAGCAGTAACAGTTTTCTTGACAGAATGAATTTAGCAAAGTCATGACATTATAGTCGGTGAAAACCAGCCGAACACACGAACACGAGCGACATCTGCTATCTGCGGGCGACAACCAATGACGCTCGTGCTGAGAGCGCTCCGGTGTAACATCCAATAGATGGCGCCATCCGTTATATAACTGCAATTTTTCGTTATGATTTGTAATATTCCTTTTCTTTTATATGTATGTATATGTGGGGTTTATACGGGCGCGAACACACTCCAAACGAAGAAATAGAAAGAAGTTTTTAAATAAACACCATAGCCAATCAAATAAATGTCACAAAAATATAGAAAATTATACGCAGCAGCGTGGAGTCTTAAAATCTGAAACTTATTGTAAACAAAATCTATATATATAAAACTCAAAGGTGACTGACTGACATAGTGACCTATCAACGCACAGCCCAAACCACTGGACGGAACGGGCTGAAATTTGGCATGCAGGTAGATGTTATGACGTAGGCATCCGCTAAGAAAGGATTTTGATCAATTCTACCCCCAAGGGAATAAAATAGGGAATGAAAGTTTGTATGAAACTTTGTCAATATTAAACCGATCGGGCTGACTTTGCATGCAGGTATAAGAATAATCATAGATGGATGTCATTGTGTATAATACAAGCCTGAGAACAAAAACTGTAGTCTACACTTCAGCTCTACACCGAAGCGAAGCGAGGGCGCGCCGCTAGTAATTTATATTTGAACAGTGATAAATGCTATGCCGTTGCTTTCTCCGGGAAGTCAAACCCTATTATTTTCGATTATACTTTGAACGACAAGGTTCTAACAAGAGTTTACGAGATTCGAGAACTAGATGTGACATTGGATTCTAAGCTTACTTCTGTTCCACATATCAATAAAATGCTTAACAAAGCATTTAAACATCTGGGATTCATATTGCGTGTTAGTAAGCCATTTAAGTTTTCTCATAAATATTTAATGGAGTAATTTAAATCAGAAGAAATAAAAAAATAACTTAAGTGGTAGTTTTAATGTTATATCTGAGAAAACAGGCATTGATTTGTTTTACACTAGCGTTCCATCACTGAGCCTGGTATTGAGCAGTATATTTTTTGACGAATAGGCGATTGTACAATGCTCTTTTCGTAATTATTATGTTAAAAGTGTGCTTAATTATGTTGTAATGTGTTTTTATTGGTGAAGACATGTAATATGGCTGTTTGGTATTATTTAAGTTTTTATTCTATTAATAGCAGTTGGTCTTCCAAAAATAAATATATTAAAAATCTGCCACAAGCAGAAATTTTTATTCTGAGAACTGTGAATACTTTCAATAAATAAGTACCGATGCATTTCACCATCTTAAGCAAAACACTACATTATGTGTTTATACATAGGTATATATGACATCCACCAATCCGCACTGCGTGGTTCATGACCCAATCTCCCTGTTTCATCTAGAGGGAAGGCTTGTGCCCCAGCAGTAGGGAATTAATAGGCTAGTGATGATGACACATTTGAATCCAACAATTCACATAAATAATTTTGCTGTATAACACAAAATATATATAATTATGAATCATTAAAACAATAGGTATGATGACTATTTTTTTTTCTTAGTTTATCAGGTAGATAATCAAAAAGTATTGGCCACGTATTTTTTCTTTTTTTCACAGAATATAAACATTGCAGAGATATATTGATTTGATAATTCGCATGCCGTCACGTTTTACAATTAAACAAGTACAATTTTCACTCAAAAGTGACGTCACGAGCCCCTACTCCCAAACTTTATCAGTTATCAAACTCCCAAACTCGATCAGGAGTTATCCGGTTGGCGCGAGCAGACTGCTGGTGTTCCACAAGGCGGTATTCTTTCTCCTTCACTCTTTTCTTTTTTCATAAATACTCTCACAGAACTTCTAACCTCTTCTTACCATCTGTATGCGGACGACTTACAACTGTACGCCAGCAGTGACAGCCCTCATTTGAATGAGGCTGTCGCTAGTCTAAATCGCGACCTCAGTGTGATCAGAGACTGGTCAGCTACTTTTGGTATTTCAGTAAATCCCACTAAATGTCAAGCGATCATTGTTGGCAGTTCTCGTCTGCTGATCCAACTTGACCTTACTAGGGTTAATTCATTATCTTATGATGGAGTTGTTATTCCTTTTTCGACTCAAGTGAGGGATTTGGGTTTGATTATCGATGACAAACTTTCGTGGATAGACCATGTCGATTTCGTCTCGCATAGGGTGACCAATTCTTTGAGATCTCTATACAGGTTTAAGTTTTTTCTGCCTATTCGCACCAAGATTGCTCTTGTTCAATCTTTAATTCTGCCTATTATCGATTATGCCGACGTATGTTATCCAGATATTAATGAAAATCTTTTAAATAAGTTGGATCGTCTTCTCAATAACTGCATTCGCTTCATATATGGCCTACGTAAATACGACCACATTTTCGTCATCAACTCAAATGGCTTCCTGTTCGTGAGCGTAGGAACCTTAGAGTTGTTTGTGCTCTTTTTAATCTTCTTTACGATCCACATACACCAGCTTACCTGAAAAGCAGATTTAGGTTTCTGTGTGATTCTCATGACCGTGTCCTCCGTTCAACGGACAACCTCCTTCTGCATACTCCCATTCACTCTTCTGGCTTCGTCTCATATTCATTTACCATCACGGCTGTACGACTCTGGAATGACTTGCCCCCTAATATACGTAAAGCTCCTAACAAATTTGTATTTAAGGGATTGGTTCGTGAGCATTATTGAAGTTATACTTCTTTAGGCGCGTTATGAAAAAATGATGAGAGTGAAATTTTAAGATGCGCGCGCATCACTGTAACACAAAATTTTAACAGCATGAAGTTGGTCGCTTTAGCTTTAGCTTTTGTGTTTACCGCACATTAAGAAAATCTACCAACAAAATAGAAATAGAATCTCTATTTAGTGGGTGCTAACGACTACATTGTGAAGGCCTATCAAAAGTATTTATTAATCTGGAACAACGGAACCAAAGCGCGATTCAGGAGACTACAGCGCCATCTCTTGACCATTGGTGTAGTAGAACCAAAAACCACATCTTTATATTTTGTAATAAAGTAACAGTTATAGGTATTCATATTTATAATATTTATCCACATGTTTCTAGTTTGTATATTCGGAATACGTGTTTGAGTTTCATACAAGTGCAAATCACATATGTTCTAATAAATTATATTCAGTAGCGATTTTAATTGAATATTTTGATTATATTTATTTTTTCAAATTAAAACTGAACTTTATTGACTGTGTCCTTTTCCAGACTTTTTATTAATTTATTGTAATTAATTATTTGCATGCAATTAAAAACTAATTTTAAACGATGCCAAAGAAGGATAACTTCTCACGCGCCTACATAAGTACACGCACCCATTTTTTCTTAATATAATTAATCTGCGTTCTCATATTTGACTGCCATAATTATGTGTATGTTTATGTATGTATTGTAGATATAGCTTATATATTTAGATGTATGTATTGTATATATATTTTAATATTTGTGTATTCTATTGATATATATATTACCTACCTGGTTTACTTAACATATGTCCTTACTGCACCCCCGTATTTTTATTTCTCACGCTTTTACTGGTCGACTGGTAGAGAATGCCTTATGGCGTTATGTCCGCCATTTGCTGTTTTTTGCAATAAAGTATAAATAAATAAAAAATAAATAAACTTTGACGCGCTATAACTTTGTCATTTTTAGGTTGATTGCCCAAAGAAAAAATACGTGTCCATTATTTTTCGATCATCTAACTGACGGACTTAATAGAATTCCGTTTACTGTAGCCCGTCATCACCCCTATTGTTACAGCTGCACTCAGTGATGTTAACTTACATTTGTGATTTGATTAAAATACAAATTAATTTAAAACGGAAAGCGCAGAAACCTTGTGTATAGAAATTTTTTCGAAGAAACCTATGTCCAGCAGCGGAAGTTCATCGACTGATGATGATGACTACTGACGTTAGACTGACCTCAGTGGCCTGGTTCCACAGCTTGTGTCGCTGCAGAATCTCGATGTAGCCCAGCAGCCACTGCTCTTGCAGACTCTCGTCGATGTACGGTAACAAGTCGTTTCTGCGACAATTATAAACATTTAAAGTTTTTAACCTTGTTTCTATTAATTATTATGCTACTGTAAAGCACTGGAGAAAGATACTCGACTAAGCTAAGCAATCTTGAATGTTTTGGCAATCATTGTATTTAGTTTTCATTCCTGAAAGATATTCGAAGATTCGTTACAAACACTGTAACACGAGAATGCTATGTAAGTATTAAACATGTCACCTGTGGTCCTGCAGCGCTAACATAGCAGTGGCCGCGGTCTGCACGTCGCCGAGCTCCACATGCGACTTTAGGGCGGCGGCTATGAGCGGGGCGATGTCGGGTAATATGTCACCTGTGGTCCTGCAGCGCTAACATAGCAGTGGCCGCGGTCTGCACGTCGCCGAGCTCCACATGCGACTTTAGGGCGGCGGCTATGAGCGGGGCGATGTCGGGTAATATGTCACCTGTGGTCCTGCAGCGCTAACATAGCAGTGGCCGCGGTCTGCACGTCGCCGAGCTCCACATGCGACTTTAGGGCGGCGGCTATGAGCGGGGCGATGTCGGGTAATATGTCACCTGTGGTCCTGCAGCGCTAACATAGCAGTGGCCGCGGTCTGCACGTCGCCGAGCTCCACATGCGACTTTAGGGCGGCGGCTATGAGCGGGGCGATGTCGGGTAATATGTCACCTGTGGTCCTGCAGCGCTAACATAGCAGTGGCCGCGGTCTGCACGTCGCCGAGCTCCACATGCGACTTTAGGGCGGCGGCTATGAGCGGGGCGATGTCGGGTAATATGTCACCTGTGGTCCTGCAGCGCTAACATAGCAGTGGCCGCGGTCTGCACGTCGCCGAGCTCCACATGCGACTTTAGGGCGGCGGCTATGAGCGGGGCGATGTCGGGTAATATGTCACCTGTGGTCCTGCAGCGCTAACATAGCAGTGGCCGCGGTCTGCACGTCGCCGAGCTCCACATGCGACTTTAGGGCGGCGGCTATGAGCGGGGCGATGTCGGGTAATATGTCACCTGTGGTCCTGCAGCGCTAACATAGCAGTGGCCGCGGTCTGCACGTCGCCGAGCTCCACATGCGACTTTAGGGCGGCGGCTATGAGCGGGGCGATGTCGGGTAATATGTCACCTGTGGTCCTGCAGCGCTAACATAGCAGTGGCCGCGGTCTGCACGTCGCCGAGCTCCACATGCGACTTTAGGGCGGCGGCTATGAGCGGGGCGATGTCGGGTAATATGTCACCTGTGGTCCTGCAGCGCTAACATAGCAGTGGCCGCGGTCTGCACGTCGCCGAGCTCCACATGCGACTTTAGGGCGGCGGCTATGAGCGGGGCGATGTCGGGTAATATGTCACCTGTGGTCCTGCAGCGCTAACATAGCAGTGGCCGCGGTCTGCACGTCGCCGAGCTCCACATGCGACTTTAGGGCGGCGGCTATGAGCGGGGCGATGTCGGGTAATATGTCACCTGTGGTCCTGCAGCGCTAACATAGCAGTGGCCGCGGTCTGCACGTCGCCGAGCTCCACATGCGACTTTAGGGCGGCGGCTATGAGCGGGGCGATGTCGGGTAATATGTCACCTGTGGTCCTGCAGCGCTAACATAGCAGTGGCCGCGGTCTGCACGTCGCCGAGCTCCACATGCGACTTTAGGGCGGCGGCTATGAGCGGGGCGATGTCGGGTAATATGTCACCTGTGGTCCTGCAGCGCTAACATAGCAGTGGCCGCGGTCTGCACGTCGCCGAGCTCCACATGCGACTTTAGGGCGGCGGCTATGAGCGGGGCGATGTCGGGGGCGGCTCTGGAACATTCCCCGCCCCCCGCCCGTACTGACAACCCAGCCTCACCCTCCTCCGCCTGCGGGTCAATGTACCCAATTACTCTCGCGTCTAAAAGACCAGCGATCGATTACTCGTACCAAGTATATTGGTCAGCACTGATAAATTTAAGTTGATAGACAAATATGACTGATGGCGCGGTTACACCTGATCGTCAGCCCGAATACCAGAGCCATTGGAATTCCAGTAAATGACTAAATGTGAATGAACGGAGTCGGGTATGCTCATGTTCGAGTAGATTTTCTTTTGTTTACCCCAAATACGGGGTAAACAACCTTACCTAACTGCGGCATGATGCCAATTCAACAGAAACACCTTACTCAAAAACGTAAACTAAAGTTAAACCTGAACCAAAACTGATGCTGTCACCTTTGTTTGGTAAAAAGAAGACAAGTAAGAAAACAATAGGTGTAAACCCAGACTCTAAGGCTCAAACTTGAACTGCTGGCGATCTACCTTAAAATTATATATATTTTTTTATTATTTTAAAGCATGTAACTGCTTGATGTTTAAATCTAAAGAAAATATAACTAGAAAAAATTCCACGCGGACCAGGCAGCAGACGGGACTCGAACCCGCACCCTTCGCAATCCGGGCGAATGCACTGACCAATTATGCTACCGCGGCCCTCACAGACCGCGTCGAAATTCTTCTAGCCATTCTTAAGCTGCAAGGCAGCGCCATCTCTTCGCATTATAGTTAACCCACAATAAATATAACTACAATTGCTATTTCTTCTTTCAAATGTTTAATACTTGTAAAAGTATGCATTTGACATTGTGGGTTAACTATAATGCGAAGAGATGGCGCTGCCTTGCAGCTTAAGAATGGCTAGAAGAATTTCGACGCGGTCTGTGAGGGCCGCGGTAGCATAATTGGTCAGTGCATTCGCCCGGATTGCGAAGGGTGCGGGTACGAGTCCCGTCTGCTGCCTGGTCCGCGTGGAATTTTTCTAGTTATATTTTCTTTACCTTAAAATTTTTAGACTACATACTTACGATCGACTCTGAGAGGCTGCAAGTATGTGTGATGCTGGGTTGTGGTCACCTACCTACCTACCTAGGTAGGATGTACCGTAGCAAATATAGATATTAGCTTTCCGCACATAATACATTATTTTAGTCAAGGCTTGGGTTAGGTTTAACTAGGTTCTTCTCTACAAGATCAATGAAAAAACTCATAGTTATTTAACTCTTGCGAGTTTATTGGTTGTTACAAAACAAAAGAGTTACATATACAGTTAGTTAGTTAGATAGATATACAGTTTGCAGGAAGGATCAGCCTGGACCCATTAGAATCGTGGTAAAGGAAGATAGCACACCGGAAAAATGGATATCAGCATCGAAAAAAATCGCTATTCACGCCAATGACGTTATCTTGAACCCATCTGCAGATGTTGAAAACCCGAAGATATATATTAACGCTGCTCTTTCTCCGTATAACAAAAAACTTCTTTGGAACGCAAAGCAGGAACTAAAGAATATATATAAGTACGTATGGTGCAAAAAAGGAATAATAATGGTGCGTAATTCAAGTGAGGAAAAACCGATAGTAATAAGATCTATAAGTGATATCAAAATACTAGCTCATAAAAAGTAGGTAGATACTTTACCATCATTTTACTTAACTAACTTAAAATACCTATTGTTACTCTTTTCTTTAAAAAAATGGCTTCGACAGTAGAAGATGATGTGTATGAGGTAAAAGACTGTTCAAACATTCAATGTTTTCTGGACAGCATTCCTAATGGTATTGCGAATTTACTATGCTTACACATTAATATACGCTCGGTAATTAAAAACTTTTCAGCTTTAGAACAATGTATCAGTTCATGCAGCCATTGCGTGGATGTAATAATAATAACTGAAGCTAATATATCTGATTCGTTGTGTTGTTTATATAATATCGATGGCTATAGTATGCGGGCAGAGTTGCGAAATTCTCGAAGAGGTGGAGGTATAATTGTATATGTTCATAAAAAGCACAAATTAGTTGATTTTAAAATAAAAACACAACACTTTGAACGCCTAACGCTCAAAATCACAACACCATTTCGATATTCCGCTGTTCTGTGTGCAGTGTATCGGCCACCGAAAAATAGTAAACATTTGTTTGTCGACGAACTACAACACACTATTTCGAAACTCGGTACAGATTGTGACTTGTACTTGCTCGGTGATATGAATATAGATCTAAGGTCCGACAGTGCTTTAAAACATAAATATAAAACTATGTTGTACAATTGTGGACTTGTGTGTGGGATATCCGACTACACGCGAATTGAATCAAGAGACGGTAAGACAAGTAAAACTTGCATTGATCATATATTCGTGAGATCCCGCACACAAGAAACGTACACGGCCGCTCTCGGAACCGTACTGGCTGATCATCGTATGGTTGTGCTGGCTTGCCACGCTCCGCGCAATTCGCACAAAACAATATTAGACTATAAAAAATTGACTAATCTTTTACACAATATAAATTGGCAAGCTGCAAATGATATGTCGTGTCCTTTCGAAATATATAACTTTATTAACAATAATATAAATAACTGTTATGTTCAATCAGAAATTAAAATAAAAAACAATTCTAGGTCTTTTCGCAAAAATAATATAAAATGGGTTAGCAGTAAAATAATAAAAGCATGCAATTATAAGGACAAACTATTTATCGAGTGGAAAAATGACACAAATAATAAAATATTACGATTAAAATATAATAAGGCAAGAAATTACGCAAATAAATTAATACAAAAAACTAAAAATGAATTAACAATAAAAGAAATTTCTGAAAATAAAAAAGATCCCCGACTTCTATGGCAGCTATTAAATAGATTAACCGGCAAAATTAAAACATCCATTGACAGTGCATTAATTGCTGCATTTGAGACCAGTACGTGTAAAAAGATTGACATAGCAAACAACTTTGCTCAGACATTTAATCAAAGCGTAAAGTCCATCTCATCAAATTGTAATGTTCGATTATTAGACAGATCAACGTATAGTATGCCCAAAAATGTCACAATAAAATATCAAAAAGCACGATTAGATAATGTACATAATATTATAAAAAAACTGAATAAAAATAAAGCACCAGGATCTGATGGCATAAGGGCAATCGATATAAAAAGCATAGGTGATAAAATAACCACAGCTATTTCCAAGCTCATTAACGCAAGCATAGTCACAGGACAGTATCCCGACCAGTTAAAGTCAGGAATAGTTCGACCGATATATAAAAAGGGCAGTCATAAAGACTATGAAAATTATAGGCCTATCACGATCCTCCCCACAATTGACAAAATTGTTGAAAAATATATTGGTAACCAAATATATACGTTTTTTAATAAAAATAATATAATTTCACAAAGACAGTATGGCTTTCAACCCGGAAAAAATACTTCACAACTACTTTCTGACTTTACGGATTCTGTTAATAAACATATAGATAGCAAACGACACGTTATCATTGTATTTATTGATTACTCCAAAGCGTTCGATACACTTCGTCACGATATGCTCGCTGATAGTTTGGAGGAAAGTGGGATACGTGGTTCTTTATTGGAATGGTGTAAAAATTACTTACAAAACCGAACATACTCGGTGAAGGTGGATGATGCAATAAGTAATAAAATTCATTTGGCGGAAGGGACAGCACAAGGATCAGTATTAGGACCCTTACACTACATTACTTATGTGAATAATCTTACAAACGTCATTAAAACTTGCGAAATGTACCAATTTGCTGACGATACCTGTTTACTTGCTGCTGACCCTGATGTTAACATGGCGCTTAAAAAGTTGCAAACTGACTTTACACTACTTTGTAAATGGTCCCATGATAACGGACTCGTATTAAATGACAGTAAAACGAAAGTTATGTATATTAGCACTAGTCAAAATAGAAAAGAAACTCCTATAGTACTCGTATCACATAATCATAATTGCTTGCATACCAATAACTTTAACACTAATTGCTGTTGCGACGCACTGAAAGTTGTAAAAAATCAAACTTACCTCGGGCTAATCATTGACGATCGGTTGACATGGGCCGATCATATTCAACACGTATGTGATAAATTACGAGCACTTCTTGCAAAGTTTTCTATACTTAAACATAAAATTCCTTATCCTATATTGTTATATTTATATAAATCACTGGGGGAATCGATAATTTCTTATGGACTAAGTAGTTATGGACGTACTGCGAAATCACATTTACATCGCATCTATGAACTTCAAATGCGCATTTTAAAAACCATTGTCCCTCGTAAAGTGAGGGAAAAATATAAAAACAATTATCACGTATTGTTCTCTTATTGCTCATTGATGCCGGTTCAGGAGAAATTTAAATATAACATCTTAACAGAACAATTCTTCAATACTGATATTCAAAAGGTTTCATCTCATAGTAAGTTAACTCGAGGCGTTGCAAATAATAAATTATTAATTCCAAAATCAAATAACCTATATGGGCAACGAACATTACAATTCATTGTTCCAAATTTAGTAAATAAGTTACCATTTGAAATAAAAAACGCACTAAATAAAAGAAACATAAAACGCACATTAAAAAGTCACTTTATCAATAAATTAAAAATAAATCATTTAAAATAACCGTTACAACGAACCTAAAATAAAAACATTAAAAAAAGTCATATTTATCATTACAATTGGAGCATCCTTTATCTACGATAACTGCATTTCGACTTGTATGCTTAGCTAGTAAAAAAAAACTTACCCAACCGGTATAGGTTCGTGCGAGTGCAAATTAATTGTCATGCCAATGTTTGTTATTTTCAACATACCCACTTATTTTATAAAATATTGTTATTTAATGATAGTTACTACAGTGTGACAACCTATATTTATTTATTGTAACTAGATGTAAAGCGGTGAATGTAGTGCACGAATAAACCTTTCTGGTTTTTGTTTGCACTTTAATATGTATTATAATTGTAATATTGCTTGATTAAATAAATTAAAAAAAAAAAAAAAAAAAAAATATGGTGTTAAACTT